ATATTGTTCATTTACGAGCGGTGCTCGAGTGCATGCGCTCTAATAAGCTATATGATAATGCATCTAAGTGCATCTTCGGGGCCTAAAAATTCCCTTTCTAGGGTGCTTCATTGGGAAGCGAGACCTAAAAGCGAATCCCGCCAAGGTCAAAGCCATAGTCGATTGGACTGTTCCACAGTCTCAGAAGGACTTGCGTATATGGCTTGGCCTTGCCAATTACTTACACAAGTACAGCGAGAATTACGCTGATATGGCTCGGCCGTTATCCAATCTCCTTAAAAAGGATATGGAATGGTGTTGGCAGGCCGAACATGAGGACACTTTTCAAGCGGTGAAAGCTAGCCTTCTTCATGCTCCTATTTTGGCTTTGCCAGACCCTGAACGACCGTTTAGCGTCGTCTGTGACGCGTCGGATTTTGCCATTGGCAGTGCTCTGTTACAAACAGATGATGAAGGTCGTGAACGTGTGATCGCTTTTGAATCTCGCCAGCTGAAGCTGCAGAAAAGAACTATCCAGTTCGTGACAAAGAGCTACTTGCGATGAAGTATGCTCTAGTCAAATTCAGAGTTCATCTGCTGGCTCAAAGCCTTTTGTGATCTATACCGATCATGCGTCTTTACGCACTGCGACTCAGTCGCCGCATCAATCGCAGAGAATGGACAGATGGCTGTCATTATTTGCCGCATATATAATTTCGAGGTAAAATATAAGCCGGGCAAGCAAAATGCTTTGGCTGATGCGTTGTCACACAGACCTGACTATGAGCTTGCTCATGTTACGACTTTGACGTCTTCTATCATTGATCTCATTCGATCAGCGTATGCTAAAGATGATAATTGTATAGCGTTGCTACATGCTCTTGGCAGTGATGAGTCTAAAGACTCGAACATTAAATTGTCGGCACGATTACGTGCGAGCCTCCATCGATATTCTATAGATCAGGGGCTGTTGTACTATTGTACAGATGTGGCGGATCCTCCGCGTATTGTGGTTCCTCATTACGAGGACCTGAAGTATCGTATCCTCTATGAGGTGCATGACACAGCCATCGGTGGTCATTTGGGTCGCGAAAAGACCTATGGGGCAGTATGCCAAAGTTACTGGTGGCCCAAATCATATAAATGGGTGAGCATATATGTGCGTACGTGTGAAACGTGTCAACTGGTGAAACCCTCGCTCCATTCGGCAGCTCCGCTGGCTAGTTTACCTATTCCCACTGGGTGCTGGGAGTCCATTAGTATGGATATTGTGTTTGGCCTACCGAAAGATTCGCATAGCAACACAGGTATTGTGGTGTTTGTTGACCGTTTGAGCAAGATGGCTCACTTAGCGGCTGTGCCAGACTCGATCGATAGTGTGGGTACAGCGGAGCTGTTTATCGATCGAGTATTTCGCCAACATGGCTTGCCAGTGGCAATTGTTTCAGATCGTGATCCTCGTTTTACGAGTAAATTTTAGAAGTCCGTCTTCCAGGTGCTACGGCACCCGTTTGAACATGTCCACAGCGGATCATCCGTAGACCGACGGTCAAACCGAACGTGTAATTCGCGTTGTTGAAGATATCCTCCGCAGCGTTTGTGCTGAAAAGCCTAAGCGTTGAACTCTATGCTGCCTGTTGTTAAGTTTGCACTTAATAACTCCGTGCACGCCTCTACCGGATACACTCCGTTCTAGTGAATGTCCTCACACACCCACGCGTTCCGTTAACGCTACCACCGAGTGGTTCAGGGCTTGGTGGGGGAGAGGTTGACGATCGGCTTGCTGATGCCAGCCCTATTACAGTTAAGAAACAGGTGAATGCGTTTCTCGCAACGCGACTAAATGTCTTACGACATGTGCAAGATGCAATGGCTGATAGCCAAGACAAACAAAAAGAATATGCGGATGCTAAAGGCAGAAGTTGTATTGATTATGATAAGGTCGGAGAACAAGTCTTACTTAATGCTAAAAACCTACCTACTAAGGTAGTATCTGCTGTCTTTAAGACAAAGTTGCGTCCGCGCTTTATCGGACCCTTTAATGTCATTGCCAAGAAAGGCCTAGCGTATACGCTTAATGTACCGCGAAAACTGCGTACACATCCCGTTTTCTACGTTGGCAATCTCAAGCCGTATCGGGATCCGTCCCAAGTAAACACTAAGGCGCTCGCGCCGAGCTCATCGGCATTGCCGCGGGACGCATCATCTGCACCAACAGGTCAAGCAGCCCCTCCACTCGGGTCCGACCCTGCTTTAACGACTCTAGGCGGGAATTCATCGACTGCACAGTCTCACGGCAACATTTCAACTCCTGAAGCAGCTTGGCGTGAGCTTGTGCCGATACACCGGCCTCCGCCGGCATTGCTCGATGAGCAGGGGATTCGTTAGTTCCATATAAAGAGGATTCTTCAGAAGCGTCGTCGCCATGGTCAAAATCAGTATCTGGTGAAGTGGCTGGGATATCCCGAGTCGTGGAACTCATGGGAGTTCGAGGTTCCCCTTCGGCAAGATTGCCCATACTCCGTGGACGTTTTCGAGCGTTGTGCACAGGTCCAACCTGTTGGCGATGACGCTTCTCACCAGTAGTGGTGGGGGTAGGCGAGTTAGCGGCCTCGGCCTGTCGTGAACTAGCGGCTACAGGTGTAGCCGAAACAATGGAGTTTTGGTTAGCAGACGCATAATGCGTTCGTTGGGATTTCAATTTTCCTCGGGCCTTCAGCTTAGCGTAATCGTACGGTATATTCCGTTCGAGTCGAATATCTGCCACATCGGCACTTGCCCGTAGGGCCCACATGCTGCTTAAACGTCGCGCATAATGCGCCCAGCGGCTAAAAGCCGTGTCTTCTTTTTCCTCGGTTTCCCCGCGAACAGAAGGATCGGAACGCCCTTAATGGGAGGGACTGGTGCACCGCGCACTTGCCTGTTGAGGCGTGCCAAGTATTGGCTTTGCGTAGTGATATGAGGTTCCAGATAGCGTTGTCGAAGGGCCGTTCGCGTAGCAACATCCTCGGGTGAAATGGCCTCAGGCCCAATGGCCCAGCCAGAAAGGGAATGTCCAGATGCCTCCTTTAGGCGTTCTTCCACTGGAAGTGGTTTGAACATATACTGTCGGTGGTCCCTGAAGCATCGCCATATTCTTCGTCCGGCGCTTGGCGCCTTCCTCTTGGTCGATGGTCTGCTGTTGCTGTTTGTCGAGTGGGTTAGTAACCGTCGCTGTTGACGATACGTCAGGCGGGTCACGTAACGCTGTTAGAGCATCTGCAGCACCGCGTTCAGGGAACGAATTCGGTGCATGACGAGTGTCATCTTCACCCGTAAGGATGGTTAAAGGGGACCCATCGGATCCCACAAAGACGGTGTCACTTTCGTAATCAACCGCTTCGTCAAGGTCGCCTTAGATGAGGTCCCGTAGAGTCTGTGACTAATTGCCAGGAGGCGTCATGTTATGTGCCGTGAACAAACCGTGAGGTTTAATGTTCGCTAAAGCACTACCTCAAAGAGGAAAGATGTCGAATGACATTTTATGGGATTGTCAGTCTGGTGGGGAAGAGTGTAACGGGGTTACACGAGGGTTGTAACATCATTCCGAAAGTTTTGGTTGAAGTTTCCCTTTATTGCATATAATGCATTTTGATACTTCTCTTTAGAGAGGTATTAAGTATGAGCGTTAAGATACTGTATTCGGTAATCCTGTATCTTATCGATTAGGATTCGATAATCGATAACGCGGTACTAAGTACATCATACACAGATGTTTAGACGATACGTCGTCCAATAGCAAAGTCTGCATATTATAATTACTATTATCGTAATTAATCTAGTGTAGGGTACTTAGAGTAGGACTAATCATAAAATCTTAAAGCATAAATAAAATCAGTTCTCCTTTTGAGTTTAAGATCGCAAGTCGTTCTGACTTGTTCTCTTGTGCACTTCGTGCGTTGGTTCTCTGAACCTTTAAGCTTCTAGCTTGTTCTTGCACTCTGTGCGTTGGTTCTCTAAACCTTAAGCTTATTGCTTGACTGTCTAAAAGTCTCTTTCCTCGTTCCTTAGAACAGGGTGACTTTAAGTCGTTTAATTAGTTCCTTAGAACTAAGTGGCTTTTAGCCTTAATTCTAATTCGTTCTCTAGAACTAAGAGGCTTTCAGCCTAAAGTCTTCCTCTGGCTAAAAAGCTGTGCAGCTCCGCTACATATCGCGTCCATAAAAGCATCTAGAAGCCTCTACATTATACCATATATCCTAGAGTAGGTTGAAGCTCTGGAGTCGATACCAAGTGCAACTTGCACTATCCATTAAAAGTCCCTCCCAATTTCCGTAGAACGGATAGACTTCGTAGTCGTTTAATAAGTTCCGTAGAACTAAATGACTTTTAGCCGAAACTTTAATTAGTTCTATAGAACTAAAAGGCTTTCAGCCCTTAATGTCTTCTCTGACTAAAGAGCTGTGTAGCTCCGCTACACTTAATAGTCTCTTCAGTAACCACCATGCTCTTATACTAATTAAAAAAATTGTATATATACGTCGATGCAAGCTGTTGAGCCACCTTCCGTCCTTGCTCTAGGCTTTTCGAGGCCGTAGCAAAGAATGCCACATTTTCCCTATAAGTGAAAAGGATAAGTTTGCATAACGTTTCTCACAACTGAGCATTTACGATCATATGAGCCAGCCGTGCTATGAAGACGGAATATGAAAATAAAGTCTTCGTAGCACGGCTAGAGTTTGCAGCGTTCGAAGGAGAAGCTTTTTATAGTTTTGTGACAATAATAATTATGACAACTTGGACGTGAGCTCGGCTCGATCAAGCGAAATCGATAGATCAGGGCATCCTATGGCGTCTATTGTCGTCAGGTTCAAGCCGTATAGCATCACCAGGAGCTTTCTTTTCACGAAGGCATTGCGTGCGTTTAGCAGAGGGGGGGGGGACCCGACATGACGTAGTAATGATATCCAAACTAAGTTGAAATCGAGTATATGACTCCAAATGATATTGGATCATTAGAATATCTGCTTGTCAAGAAAACAATGGAGCAGCCTCGACATCAGACGCATCAGCGCTGGATCTGCGGGGGCTTTGCAGTGCTTGTGTGCGTCATGATGCTCTGGGGATCCACGCACACCATTCCTCAGCGTGGTGTCGTGGTGATCAACACGTGGCCGTTTGTGAACGCAACCCGCGCAGGTTTCCAGGCTCTGCAGAAATCGAGCAGCCGCTCGCATGCATTGGACGCCATCACACGTGGCTGTAATCGCTGCGAAGTGGACCAATGCGACTTTACAGTTGGCTACGGAGGTAGCCCAGACTCTAGCGGGGAGACGACTTTGGACGCCATGATCTTGGATGGGTCCACGATGGAAATGGGCGCAGTGGCGCAGTTGCGACGTGTGAAACCTGCAATCAAAGTAGCACGCGCAGTTATGGAGCACTCGTCTCACAGCATTTTGGCTGGAGACGGTGCGCTGGCGTTTGCCAAGATGATGGGGTTCGAGGAGACGCCGCTAGACACGCCGCACTCGCGCGAGATTTACGAAAACTGGCTTGATAACAAGTGCCAGCCCAACTATTTCCGCAACGTTGTAGGGAAAAACAATTCGTGTCCACCGTATAAGCCATTGACGTCGCAACGTAAAGTGTATACGGGACTACAAGGCCAATCGTTGCTGCGTTCGACTAGCAGACAGAACAATGCTGCTGTAGAAAGGTTGATCACGACAGGGAACCATGACACCATTGGGATGGTGGTTTTAGCAGAGAATGGACACATGGCAGCTGGAACTAGCTCCAACGGAGCAATGCATAAAATTGCAGGGTGAGTTTTGATAGCACTGGCTTGTTTCTCCTATCGTATTTCAACGCTGACAATATGCTATCTTTAAGACGTGTTGGTGATGCTGCAGTGGCAGGTGCTGGAGCTTATGTGGACTCATCCATTGGCGGAGCTGCTGCGACTGGAGACGGTGATGTGATGATGCGCTTTTTGCCCTCATTTTTTGCTGTTCAAGAAATGAAGAGAGGTGTCCATGTGAGAGTCCTACATAAGTGTAGCAGTGCATAATGTTTGTCATACTGACTGACGTCTTGTTCGATAGCCGCGGAAAGCATGTGAACACGCCCTTCACCGAATTGCGGCAGTTTACCCCTACTTTCTGGGAGGTATGGTTTGCTTGAATCGGCTTGGGGAATATGGTGGAGCTGGCTACGGGTGGGAGTTTGAGTATTCTGTGCAGGCAAGCTGGATGTTGGAGCCAGAGGTGATACATGTATCGCCGCTCTCACGCCCGTCATGAGGTAACGTTACACGCAAAGCGAATACATGTTTTGGTAACCAAGAAAATCATATATTAAAGGATCTGTCCGATCAAACTCCCATCTATCTACTAACGTCCTTGTCCCTTTTCGATGTAAAGAGAGTATAAGAGCGACCCGCGTGGTGGCAAATGAATGACAAGAAGGCATGCAACACGCAATTCACCAATCCCAGCGCGTTAGAGCACGAGACGTCGTATCCATTTACAAGAAGTACGGCACCAGCGCACGCTGATTAAAGCCGTCCGATGATTCAGCAACCTGAACCAGTCAAAAAATAACCATCGCATCGTGAGCACTAAAAACGACCGAATAGCACAAAAGCATTACTCATCGTACCTCACGAAACAACTTGAAATCACGCTCGAGGTTTTCATCGAATGACAGGATGGCTGCCACATTACCGCACCGGTAGCAGTAGTTGGGCGCCGACCAGACCGTCACGAGACTATTGTCGAACATGTACTTGTAACCTTCCTGCACAAGCTGATGTGCACGACAAATGAGGTCGAGTCCGTTAATCTGGCTGAACTCTTGCGTAACCTTGGCGCCAAACAAATAGCCAGCGCCACGCGGACTCATTGCCCACGTCTCAATATCCTCCGGGTCGGACCACATGAGGTCACAGAACGATCCTTCATGCGGAATCTCCTGCTGACGTTGTATTGTCCGGATCTGGTCAAGCGTGCGAAGCTCTGGCGATAAGCCGCCGTGCACACACAGTACGCGTCCGTCAATGATGGCAGCCAAGTTGAGATAGTCAAACACGTCCGTGCAGAACTTCCAAGGATTGGCATTGCCGTACTTGCGCACGCATTCCTCATAAAAGCCGTAAACCTGTGTGATCTGTCGGCACTCGTGATTGCCACGCAAGAGCGTAATACGGTCTGGATAGCATGCCTTGAGACACAACAAAAGCTCAAAAGTCTCTACACTATTGTGTCCACGGTCCACAAAGTCACCCTAGAAAGGTACAATACAAATCACACTCTATCATTAAACGTTTTTCCTCATCTCCTTCAAAAAAAGAACAAAGGAGAATAAACTACGCACCATAAAAATGTAATTAGTGTCGTGAATATCACCACCACAGCGAAAAAGCTCCAGCAGGTCAAAGAATTGGCCGTGGATGTCACCGCACACTGTTACGGGACTGCTCACGGGCTGTACGTTGGACTCCTCAATGAGCAGCATCTTGACAGTTTCACACACCTGCTTGAGCTCGAGTTCACTCAATAATTTGCCATTGCGTAGATTCTCAATCCACTGGTCAGGGCCACTGCCACTACTAAAGGGCTTAATCTCCTCCAGCGCCACGTCGTTCACGCTCGTCATATTTTACCTCCTTCCTGCCTTCTAACTGGTAAATAACACCCCCTCCCCCCAAATTACGATTGACCTAAAATTATGCGCATAATTTTGGGTACAAGAAAAGGAGAAGGTGGAACACAACTCGTACACAACTTTACCTACGAAAAAGAACTAGATTTACCAAATTGTGGACCCATGCAAATAAAGCTCAAAATAACACGACGTTTTAGTCGAAACAGCTATTATCTTTAGTATATTGGAGACTTACGCCTACTTTCGCAGGACCCCTGCTTGTTTTTTGAGTAGCTGTATCCACGACACAATTCGAACTACTTGCGCGTAAACACACGAGCTCCAATGATGGACACCGACACCATTAGCGTGGCGAGTGCAGCTAGCGCCACCTTATCATCCCACACTCTGTTCCATTTCGTCGTCGATGCCGTCGTGATTGTAGATACCATTCCAGCTGCACTTGAATCTACGTGCTTCTTCTTTCGCACAAACTCCTTGGCTCCATTCCTCTTTTCTAATGATTTCGAACCGTCCTTGCCTCCACTGCCCTTATCATTATCACCAAAAGTGCAGCATGATCCGCTGCCACCACAGCATTCTTCTTCACCACGAAGGTGATCATCATCGTCGTGCAATCGATCGTGGCCATGGCCACCACAGCTGTCGTCGCTTTGGCAAGAGGATGCAGTAGTCACCTTTGCTTTAGATAACGCATTGGATCGATCCACCGCCAACAAGTTTCCTTCAGTCCGCATCTGCTCGCGTATGACAGCCGCCGCTATAGTAGCGGGCTGGGAACGTAAGATCACTTCACCCGTGATGTGAAAGCGTGCCGCGGTAAGGACACGTACTTTCGCCGTGCATCCGATGAGAGAATCATCACGTGGAAGCAGAACCTTGGTGTAATTCTTGGTGTGTGCCACTGTATGCTTCTTATCATCCGATACCTCAGTGTTCACCCATACCTTTTGTGTCGTGTTTACAAGGTGTGTGTACGGCTCGAACGTTTCAAAGAGCTTAGTAAGCTTGCGACTGCGGTTCTTGACCACCTGTGTCGGGACACGTTTCATCTTAGCTGCTGGTGTTCCTGGTCGAGGGTAAAACTGTGAAATATTCATAATGTGAAAGCGGTAGTTCTCGACAAGCTCCATCGTTTCGTCAAAATGTTCCTCGGTCTCTGTAGGAAAGCCGCAGATGATGTCGGTTGCCAGCGTGAGGTCCGGTACTTTGGCAAGCAGCTTGTCAGCAACACGACGGAAGTCATCCCTCGTGTACTCGCGGTTCATGGCCAGCAGTACGTCATCACTACCAGATTGCACAGGCACATGCAGGAACGAGTAGACTCGGTCATGTTTCAGCACTTCAGCAATAGCATCCAGATGATCCAGAATGTATGGGGGATTCGTCATCCCCACTCGAAGCATGATACCGTCAGGCACAACTTCCAGTAGCTTGTGCAGAAGTGTGGGTAAATCAGTGCCAATGTCAATGCCATATGCTCCCGTATCTTCACTTGACAGCCAAATCTCCGTCACACCTTCATTAATCACCGCCTGCGCTCTTGAAACAATTGCTTCGATCGTGTAACTCCCTAATTTACCACGTGCATGACGTGTCTTGCAGTACGTGCACGCACCCAGACACCCCGTGCTCAATGGAATAATCTCCACCATCGGGTTCTTGCGGATCTTGGGCAGGTCTAGTTCCGGCAGTCGGTTCTTGGACAAAAGTCGCACTGTATGGCCCTTAAGCGTTTCCTCTACGACCTCCACAACTCGATCCACTTGCTGGATGCCTACAATGCTGACATCCTCCAGGCCCTTAAGGTGTCTGTCAGCTTGTGGCACACAACCAGCTACGACCACAGCCTTGTTCTGCTTGCGGCCCTTGACAACCAAGTGCATAAAGGCGGCTTGGGATGGGTCTTTCACGGTGCAGCTATTAAGCAGCCAGAGCTGTGCCGCGTCCGGGTCCTGTGTGAATCGGTAGCCGTAGCTCGCGAGTACACCCTGCATGTATTCAGAATCACTCACATTGTGCGAGCAACCGTACGTTTTGATCCAGATGAGCTGAGTACCAGGGACACTGGTCTCTTCTTCCTTCGTGTCCATGTCAGACCTACTACTACTGGCTGTACTGTCCATTGACGTCTGCTGGAAAATAGGCTTTGGCGCTACCATCAACGTGCGAACGGAGCTTATGGTAGTACGATCTAGATCCTCCTCATTGATTATGTCCTCGATGTCGTCCATATTGACGTCGTGTAGCGTCTGAATAAGAAGGAAATGGCTAGTGGCTAGCAATGAAGTCTATTTAATCCCTTAGATAGTGATAGTATAAGTAGTATTCTTGTTTAAAAGCACGAAATAGCGTTTAGCCTCTTACTGAATCAACGTTTTATGGTATGGAGGTGTTATTTATCAACCACCTGTTAATCGTAGCAAAAAGTTGGTAAGTATACGTATAAAGTCTTCCTTTACTAACGCTGGTGTTCCTAACTTAGTAATATTTGCAGCCTATTTCAGGCGGAGTCGGTATTTTACCGGTGGCGAACCGGTTGTGTCAAACACTAATACGATGTACAAGTGGGGACAAGTGGGGCTACACCAAAATGTAAATGAACATGATTTCGACAAGAAATCGAGATTTGAGCATTCTGCTTTCTACTCATGAAAGTATTTCGACAACTCTTGTGTGGTCTTTTCAACAAAAGCATGAGAATGCTGCAAGGTAAACTTTTACACTGAGCTGCCGCCATTCCATTGTCTGTTACACAGTGGAATGATACAGTACTTCAAACGATGCAAACTCGTTCACCACAATCATTCCACGATGTGTTCCCTTTGCTCCGTTACCCTTTCAATTGAACTTGCAAATGACCGTTGGCACCTTGTACACGTTGTCGGCGTCATCGGAACACGAAGTCTGCAGCTCAATGTACTTGCGACTGCAATTTACGAGTCCTTCATAACGCGATTCCACAAATGCCCGCAGAGGCTTCTTCATCTGGCTGGCATAAAGATCCTTTAGCGCTTTGTCGTAGGCGTTGCGGTCGTAAAGCATCAAACCGCTGACAGTCCGATAACGCAAATCCTTGTCGGCTGCGCTAGTGTTGCCCATTTCCGCAACACAGTGGAACAGCAAGTCGCAGTTGAGCTCCGTTTTTTCCTTGAATTGAACCAGAAAATCCTCCAGAGTTGACTTAGACGACAGCTCAATGACAGTAGAGTCCCACTTGGTGAATCCAGTAGGCTTGCACTTGACCTCCGACATTTCCACCACATCATATTCGTCCTTAGCACGAGCTGGAACCGCTGGCTCCTGCATCAAGTACATATTCAATCCCAACGAATTGGATGAGTCTTTGAAAGCCTCCAGCTCCTTGCGCTGCATGAGTTTCAGCATCTCCAGCATAGCTAAGCCGGTCACGGACGCTGTGGTAGTAGCAATGGCCGGAATAATCTTCCCTGCAATCATCTTGCACTTGTGGCGCGACGCATCGCGGATGCGGTAGTTGAAGGCCCGCAAGTTCGACGCTGCGTAAACGAAATCAATGTGAAAATTCATGTCCTGATCCTTTTCGAAATCCGCCGGCTCAAAATGCAAACCCGAAAGGTCAAGCGTTTCCAGCTCGCGTATTAACTCGATGAGCTCATTCTTATCCGAGTCACTCGAATTCATAATTTTCTCCTGCTCCAAACGCTTCATTTCGTCCGAGTCAGCAGCAATTTTTTCGTTCGACGGCTTCCAAGTCGGCGGAACGTAATTACTACCGAGCTCCGCATACATGGACGGATCCCGCCACCTAGAACCACCAGGAACCAGCTTCTGCTCAGGAGGTGGCTGAAGCCCGTAGCAAACAGCCAAAATATTGGCAGTGGCACGCACAAAGTTCAGATGCAGCGGATTTTCTGGGTCAAATTTCTCCACTGCTTGAGGGAAACGCTTGGCACCTGACCAAAACTTCTCTCCAGAGCTGGTCAGATGATCCTCCGGGAAATTGTGAGCAAGCTGCAGAATACGGTCGCGAAAGCGCGAGGTCATGAGCTCGAATGCCAGCTCAACACACCGCTCGAACGTGATACCCTTCGCCGTCTGTAAGGCGGCACGCAGGTCACGAAGACGTTCGAGCTCCTGCACAATAGCCGCTGAAACGAGTTTCGGGTTCGGATTTTCTATGGTAGCCTTCTTGACTTGATCCAAATACGCTGCGCGGTCGTCCACAAACTTCTTAGCGTCTAAGGAAGGCACAACAAATAGATCTTCAAACTGAGCGCGCGACCACTCGATGCAGTGTTCGATAAGGGATGGAAAGTTTCGTAGCGTGCACATTGGAATTCCGTCCCCTTCAGCATCCTTCGGGCCATCCGCGTAGCTCTGTGTTTTATATGGGATCACAACCTGTACATTACACTTCGTGCCTAGTGTACCACTCTCCAGCAAAGGCAACTTGTAAAAGACACACTTGCTATCCACGTATAGACGAGCCTTCACATTATCCAAGGCGTTGGTGACTACGTCCAGGTCAGTCCAAAAATCGTCGTCGAAAGTGTTTTCCGTATGCGCCGCCACCAACTGCTCGAGAGTCTTTACCTTCAGATCTGCGTTCATCTGGCGAACTGCAGCGGTAGCAGCAACGGACTTGGACTGGCCAACGTTGTGCTCCCGGAAGAGAAACTGACGATTCAAGTTGCTCACTTCAATACGGTCATTGTCCGTTACAGTCACAAGACCCTTTTCGCCGCATGCAATACCAATCATGGCAAAGTTCTTCAGGTACTCACATCCAAGCGCACCGCACCCCACCAGAAACGTACGAACATTTCCAAGCTGCTTGTGGAACGACAGACCATAGGCCATTATCATGTGGTCGTACCGCGAGCCGATTGGCTCCACGTCCGTCGGGCGCTCATCGGGCAACACTTCGAACGCATCCAAGTGCAGCCATTGCTTCAGTGGTGTAAACTTGCCAGTAAACTTGACAATCTCCTGAGCAATGACGCCGCCATAGAAAGCAGCAAGAGGATGCAACTCAATAGCGGCGTATAGTGCTGCCAGTTGCACCAACTTCTCATCCAGTTCATCCAGCTGCATCACTTCCTGTTGATGGGCACCTTCACGAGTAAAGTCCGAGAGATGCTGAATACCCAGCTTAGCAATTGTTACAACTTCATCAGCATCCGCGTCATTGTGTGGTCTCGGGTAATGACCGTAACGCTCCTCAAACTCCATGAGACTCCACATGATGACGTGTAGCTGCTCTGCACGACCAAACTTGGCTCCGTCCGTAAACATGAGTCCAAACTCGCCTGCAGGCACAGGAGAGACTAGCGATTCCTCCAGGGATTTAAAGTTCATTATGAATGGCTTTTTGTGTTGCGTAAATACGCCTCCACCTTCATACGGAGTAAAGTCGGATGTGTCGCCGATCTTCAGTCGGTACGCATCAAAAACTTCCGTCTGCTTCCCATTACGAAACACCTTTTTGTTAGCAAACTTGATGCGACGTGGGCCCATCGTGTTAATGGACTGGTTCAAGTTGCTTTTCAGCTTCATTCCCTGCACTCCACTAATCTCAATCCATCCATCGTGGTCCGAGTCTGGCATCTCGTGCATCTTACCGTCTTCATTAGGTCCTAAAATGGACAGCATTCCATCCTTCTCATTTGTAATGTCCGTGATGATACGAGTAATCGGTGCTTCCCCCGTCGCGTCAAAGCTCTTAAACTCGTTGCCAAAGTCCGTAAATGCGTAGCCAAAGGCGCCGCGGATATCGCACATAATGAATCCAATCTGTGGTGACTGCTGACGACAAAAGTGATTCCAGCGCAGCAGTTCGTGACGGCTCGTGTGTGTAAAGACCACCACATTGTGCTTGGCCAGCACCTCTTCTGTAAGAGGCCCTTTGTGCAGAGCTACCGACACCATCTTGTTGAGCTCTGCCAACTTGTGGGAGACTGCAGGAGCACGCGGATGACCCACGTCCTGCTCCGTCAAAAAGAAATTGATGCCTAAATCTTGTATCTCGACAATGTCGTCATCATGCAACGTGATGGCGCCGGGACCTGCGAGGATCAAGTTCTTGGCACACTCAATGCCTACACCCTTTAGCCCTACAATAAGGACTTTGAGTTTGACCAACTACACAATTACACAAACAATAGTCCAAATTAGTCCAAGTGACCATCACTCTGCATATCCAATGTAAGCTGACCTTGGCCATGGTTTCGAGTCCAAAGGCACCAATCTGGCGACTGTACTTGTCCATAAAGTCTGCATCCTTCTCTAATTGTTGCGTCGTCGCCATGACACTAGTTTCTTTTCGTCTTTTACTGCTTGGGACTCCTTGGTGGCCCAGGCCGCGTCTTGTGGGGGGCCCTGATCGCTTCAGCTTCGTCACTCTCTCCTTTTGGAACACAAAAGGAAAAATACGACGACGAATCTTTTCCCTCAAATTGAGACAAAAATTGAGTAAGACAGGACCAAAAGTTGACGATTTGAGCACTTTTAACCTGTCCGTTCCATATTATTTTGATTGGGCGCATTGGACTACGACATAAAACTACGCCAACATTGACAAAGATACGCGCTTGTTAGGCAATCGATGTGTAGTGGGCGTAATGCTTGCAGTCGAAACAGAAACGGCCATTCCAGGACGAACTGGACGGCGCGCAGTCGGAGCAACAGACACGTCCACAACGATTGCAATGACATTTCCGTGAGAAAAAGAACGGAAATGACTCGAGACAGATCATGCATTCATTTACGTCAGTATCTGGAATCCACGACGGCGTTACTCGTAGGAATCGCAAGAGCTACAATAGGAGAAAGTCATAGAGGTTATATATATATATAATGGACCGGAGCAGAAATAGCAAAACGACACTTACAGCAGTGGCTCTTGGGTCAAAAATGACACGCACGCCTTCTCCATCGGGTACATTCATATCCGCTCCATGTTTTATCAACAGCACGGCCTCATTTTCCATGTCTAGAGAGGGCACAAGATCATTCACATGGACGTTGGTGTGTAAACAAAGGAAAAGAGTCACCACCAAGACATTTGCACAAACCTTTCTCCATGCAATAGTGCAAAGGTGAACGCTTTAGAAAATCAACCTTCTGTGGATCCGCCTTGTGTCTCAAGAGCGTCTCCATGAGCTCACATGTTGCAGAGCCATTGCGCTTGATCATGGCACAGAGATGTAAAGGCGTTTGTTTCAACAGGTTTACGGCATTTGCGTCAGCACCAAAGCAGAGCAAGAGCTCGATAACGCGCGATGCAAACTTCACTTCAAGCTGCGTGGCCAAATGAAGTGCCGAGTTGCCCTCACGATCACTGAAATTCAAGTCGAGATGTGGTAACACCTCGGGACGAAAAAACACGCTCGCAATTTCAAAGTTACCACTGCGAACAGCCAAATGCAGTGGCGAGAAACCACGCTGCGTTTCAGCCTGCTGCAACATGTCAAGCGCTCCACTTGCTTCATTGACAAGAAGAGCACACACGAGCTCCAAATTGCCTCCTTTTACGGCCTGGTGCAATACCGTGTTACCATATCGATCAATTCTGAGGCTTGACATATTCATTTGGTGCCACAAAGAATTGTTGCTGTCGCTTGCGCCACGATCGCAGTGCGGTCCATCTACATGCGGTGCTGCTCTGGTCGCAACTGTGGACATCGTATCACTGGAGACAGGATCTCCATACATGTCTCGGCTAGCAAAATGCGACAATGCAGCTTCAGCAGCTTCAGCCCTATGACGAAGCCTTTCGACATCTCTCAAAGCCTGCTTAAGCATCGCATTATCACCATCAGATCCGTCACCACTCATACGACCGCGAAGAGCAGCTCTTCGCACTACATCCATAGGTGAAAAGTCGGTATCGTCCGAGTATGCACTTGTCCCGACTGAAGCAGTTGCTGTTGAAAATACGTCATCTTCTTCTTGCGTTTCAGCTGTGACCTCACTTTCACGACCCCTGTAGCTTAACGTATCTGCCGGCTTTTCTTCTGGCCTCAAAGCTCTAGAAGAAGCCTCAAGAGATGAAGCAGTCCTCGATAACGCAGTGCGTGCGCGGTGCCATCTTACAATACTTCGCTGAATGAGCAATACACTTTGATAACGATGTCTTTTTACCCCTTCCACCCAGATGCGCATTGCATGTTGAAGTAGTCTTGCTGCGTTGTTGCGTCGAGTAATGCGGCGTTTCTTCTCCAAGATAGCCTTCCACCGCACTTGAATGCTCCACAACACATGTAATTGTCTAATGTACACTTGGCGCTGCTGTTTGCGACGCCACGAGCTTTGTAATTTCGTTGCAGATACCGCAACGGCACGTTCACGACTTTTTTCCAATTGATCAAAAGCCTGCTGCCGTAAAAACACACGAGTTTTACCAAGCTCCACTCGATCGATCTCCAGAAGTGTCAATAAATCTGAAGCGGTCCATTCCGACGCAGGCTTGTTGTCACTACCTGGCTTTGCCACCAATAGGTGATACCGCTTCAAGAAGTCGACATGTCTCATGCGTACAGGAAACGATTGACGCATAATCTTCACCGCTTTCAGCACACCACCGTAACGCAATTGACTTGACACCTTTGCCATGTCAAACTTGTTGCATGCGCTCTCGTCGTTAGGCTTAATGCAGCGAATATAGTGTGTCTGCGTCTGTTGAACGACATCGAGCAAACTTGCTAGTTGTTGCTTGAACTGAGATCCGATGCCCACCGAGCTGAGGACTGACGACCGCCGTCTTAGTTTAGGCTGAACAAGCTGAAGCTGTGCTGACTCGCTAGCTTTAAAAAAGCTGAAGAGCTCGCGCAAATGCGCGTCATTAGTTTTCTCCAAAACGCTAAACAGCTCTGCATTGGGCTGATCCTTATTTTTCTCACAAAAACCTTCTGCTTGGTACCGAACATTGCCTGCGTAGTGATGAACTTGGAACGCAAACTCAACTTGCTCCGATCGAGAAGCGCTGAAGTTGCTATGATCCTGCAGTCGCTGGTACAACTTTCGAGCAAATCCTGCATCACTTCCCTTTGGCACAACACATTCCTCGTCCAGAAGTGAGAAAATACCACTTGGTCGTTGCTCAACCATTTCCAGACACATAGAGTTGTCTTCGTAGTCCACGGCGTTCCACTTAATCCCCTCCTCAATATGAGCTTGCTGTTCAGTCAGAAGAATGTCCTGAATAAACTGATACTGCAGCTTCTCGTTAGCGTAATTAATACAAAACTGCTCGAACTGATTAACTTCAAATTCTTCAAAGCCGAATATATCCAGGACTGCAATGCATGGTGTCAGTGTCATGACATCTTTCATTTCAGCATTCGTAAACTGCTGCACTTGCGGTGAGGCTGAGTTCACCTTCAAGACCAGAAACCGAAACAAAAAGTCATACAATGAGCGAGCCATTGCGTCTCGGGCATCTACACATTGCGCAATACTTAAGCTTGCATGGAATATTTCGCCTCCAACACTGATTTTCCGCGTGGTCAGTGCTGAAAGAAGCTCCTCCTGATCTACAGCAAAGATTTTTGACACGATATCAAGGTGCTCCTGCACCGTAAGCGAAGAGGATGAGGCAGATGCAAGCCGACACGGGGCTGATGCCGTTCCATTGTCTTCTTCTCCCTCATCTTCAATCGAAGAAGCAAACAAAACGTTTCCGAGATGTAGCAGTGCGCTCAGAATTTTCCAAATCGCTTCTTGCTCAATGTCAGTAAAGCCCAGAACTTTCATTGACTGTAGCACCAATTGGAACTGCTTATCATCACGTACGCCATCATTTCTCTGAAAACATCGTCCCCCATTAATGTACTGGAAATCAAGCACTGACATGTTCTCAAGATACAGCTTTTTCTTCATAGTATCTTTTGCACCAACAAGCAGCTCATAAAACACGTGAAAATTGCGTTCTCCGTCGTTCTGATGCACCACACGAACTTTTTCCAAAAGATACGTCTGGACCGACGTACCCACCATCCTCAACGACGCATTGAGCTCCGGTCCATCAAAGAACATGCGCACAAATTTTCCAAATCGACTGCTATTGTTATTGCGCAGTGTTTTGGCATTGCCAAAACACTCCAAAATCGGGTTCGCACTCATCAATTCACTGCCGCTGATCGATCGCTTCCTTTCACTTCTACTTGTCATATCCACTTGTTGTTGACTGCACTCTGCTAAGTAATTCAAGATAAATTTCGTCGTTTCGGTCTTTCCTGCTCCGCTCTCTCCACTCACTAGAATTGTCTGATTCTTCTTACTCTCTCCAGGCTCCTGCAATCGTCGTCGTAGCGATCGATACGCCCCTTCAGCAGTCGAAAACACATGAGGTGGTAGTGCTGTCCAGTCACGCATTTCCTGATGGTACTTGTGCAGGTCATAAAGCCCTGAAATCTCTTTGAATGGGTTCACAGCGATAAGAACGGCGCCAGATCGACAATACACCTGATCCACACTGTAACGCTGTGCCAAATAGTCCACAAATGCTGGCTCATGCAAATGTGTAAGTACATCCAAGTTCTCGACGTCTGCAAGCCTCTGTCCTGCCACCAGTTCATTCATCATACGAACGTCTTGAGCTTCATCGACTTCAACTGTTTTCTCAATATTGTTGAGCTGTACGAGGACATGGGACACAGAGTTTTCTACACGACGTAGTACACGTCCACGTACCCATTTGTAATCGGTCTCAGCGTCTTCATAACGCACATAGACCTGCATGACTCAAGCTGCAAGACCAAGTCGAGTGAGAAAGTTATGCGTAGCTCTTTCGACTTTGCGTTTACAACACACTGTCGCAGAGCGACTGGTAATTGGCTGAAATGAAGTTCATATTGTCACTTTTATGACGAATCGTCAGCAAGATGTCTGAGTCAGAAAGAAGACAATACTAAGATCAAGATGTCGCTCGTCTATCTGCCTGAGAATGCGTGGTCCATGCGCTATGGTGACGTTCAACTGTCCGATTGTGTCTATCGTCTGTTGTAAATTGCATTGTAATGTTTATCCATCTGTTACAATAGGTTCAGACTATTTTACAGTGACTATAATGAAATATCAAGTCAAAGAACACGAACAAGTTGCGTTTTATGAGCTCAAGATCCAGAATGGAAGACGTAATTGGAAAGTTTTGCGTCGTTTTCGTGAGTTTGACAGGCTACAGACATGGTGAGGGACGTATGATGTACTGCATTTAATGTTAAATACACGAGAAACTAACGACTGTGGTCGGTAGGGTACGTTTTAAAGCAGGTAATCGAATGCCAGAACTCCCACCCAAGACTTTTTGCTGTCGAGATTTAAATCCAGACTTTCTACTCAGACGCATGGAATTGTTGCAGATTTTTCTGCATTGTATGCTCGAGATTCCTGGAGTTGTTGATGATGACCATGTGCGCGAATTCTTGGGCCTTAAGTTGTCGGCAGAGCTCTATGTGTGAGGTGCCTCATACGCTTGTCAGACAGTAGAAGTACTCGACTCATACTTTCATCAAAAAAGGTTACGTGCTCATTGCATGGACAAGCTCCAACCAAGTCGAGGCATACAGATTAAAAGATCAGGCGGCACTTATATGGGCGTTCTTATCAAACTTTGAGCGTTCTAGTGCTTCTTGCCTTTCTTCTTCTTGCTCTTGGATTTCTTGGACCGATTGCGGTTGCGCTTACCAGGCGTCGAACCACCACTGTCGACAGGAGAGATTGCGCTTTTATCTTTGGCAGGTTCCTCGGTGTTCTCAGCCGGAACATTGATCGAAAGAGGCTCAGTAGACTCGGTGCTATCTACTGGGGCGTCCAAAGACAACGGAGTTGTAGCTTCTTGAGCAGGTGTTGCCTCCATCTCTGGGCTCAATATGATTGCTTCCCACGACACGGGCGTTGTGTCAGGAGTCTTAGGTGAAGCCAACGTCTCTGTCGCCGCAGTCGTGTCAACGACAGGTTCTGCACTTGCTGGCTTCTTTGACAACTTGTCGGGCGTCGAGCAACCACTGTTCACAGAAGAAATTGCGCTTTTATCTTTGGCAGGTTCCTCGGTGACCTCAACCGGAACATTGATCGAAAGAGGCTCAGTAGACTCGGTGCTATCTACTGGGGCGTCCAAAGACAACGGAGTTGTAGGTTCTTGAGCGGGTGTAGCCTCCATCTCTGGGCTCAATATGATTGCTTCCCACGACACAGGCGTTGTGTCAGGAGTCTTAGGTGAAGCCAACGTCTCTGTCGCCGCAGTCGTGTCAATGACAGGTTCTGCACTTGCCAGCTCATTCGATCCAGATGAAACCTGTGCATGCTCTTCCTCTTGTTCTTGCTTCTGTTCCTCCTCGACAATGCTCTCTTCGTCCTCCGTGGCGGCAGAGGTCGGAACAACCTCCTCTGTTTTCACTACTGCATCTTCGATGTTAATGAGCTCGGGGGTGCTCTGCGAAAGCGTCATCGACTGCGTCAAATCTACCTGAACGTAATCCTGTTCCAGCGCAATTTTTTCAAGCATTTCCTGAAGAGTTTTATCGGCGAACGCGCTCGCTGTTTCGGCAACGGCTTGAGGAACGATGAAGTCCTCGCTTGCTTTACTTGTGACAGACTTCGGTTTTTCCGTGCCAGGTGCAGGCTCTGTCGACTTCTCGGGGCCAGCAATTTTTGTCTTAGACGGGCTAGCAAAAGTCTGCTTCGGATGTTCAATAGTTGAAGCCTCTGTCTGCTCGACAATATTCTTCATGCTCTCAGTAGTTTGCTTGGGACTTTCAACAATCTTCCTCGGAGACTCGAAAGCCTTCTTCGGGCTTTCAATAGCCGCAACCTTAGTCTGCTCAACAGCCTCATTCTGGCTCTCAATTGACTGCTTAGGACTTTCAACGGACTTCTTCGGAGACCCAGCGGCCTTCTTCGGAGATGCGGCGGCCATCTTCGGAGATGTGACGGCCTTCTTCGAAGACTCGAGAGCCATCTTCGAAGACTTGGATGCCTTCTTTGGGCTTTCAATAGTCGCAACCTTAGTCTGCTCAACAGCCTCATTCTGGCTCTCAAATGACTGCTTAGGACTTTCAATGGACATCTTCGGAGACCCGGCGGCCGTCTTCGGAGATGCGGCGGCCATCTTCGGAGATGTGACGGCCTTCTTCGAAGACTCGAGAGCCATCTTCGAAGACGTGGAGGCCTTCTTCGGGCTTTCGATAGGCGCAATCTTAGTCTGCTTAACAGCCTCATTCGGGCTCTCAATTGTCTGCTTAGGACTTTCAACGCTCTTCTTAGGAGTCCTGGGGACATTCTTTGGGCTTTCAATAGTCACAGCCTCAACCTGCTTTTCGACCTTCTTAGGAGTCCCAGGAGCCTTATTCTGACTCTCAACACTCTGCTTCTGGGGATGATCAACGATCTTCTTAAGATTCTCACGGGCCTTCTTCGGGCTGGTGTGAAATTCCTTAGAAAGCACAAGGACCGGAGACACGATCTCATTCTTCGGATTCCCAACGGTCTTCTTTGAACTGCTCTTCGTAGTCTCTTTAGGACACAAGATAACCTCCTTCAAAGCTTTAACAACAACAGTAGACTCCACCACTTTCACCGGAGGCTCCACAACCTTTTTCACGGTCGTCTTCGAACTCTCCAGTGCTTTCTTTGGACAAACAGGTAGAAGCCCTGGCATTTCAGTAGCCTCAGTCTTCTCAATTGTCTCACTCCCAGAAGCCGCGATCGTCTTGCCAATCGTTCTACTGACACTGGAGGAAGAGGTTCTAGCACCACTCGTTTGTATCTCAGACACTGTTGATTTGACGCGAGCAATCTGCTTTTCCTTCGTCACCATGGCTGCGGTCGACGTCTTCTGACTACTGTATACACCCGCCTCGCTACTATCATTAAGTAGCGTACGAGGCTTCTTGCTGTTCATCTGCAGGTAGTAGTAGCCAATTGCGGCCATGCCGACACTAAGTAGCCCCGTCATAAGCAGCAGCGTGGTATTATTCGAGTTACCAGAAGTTGTCATTCTTGTTTCTTTCTTCCGTTCCAACTAATGAGAAGGAGAATGACAAAGTGAGGTCGTAACGTCGGTTCTCAGCCGATTCTACTCGTCTCTTGAACGATCTTGTTTGAACCTCTCGCGGCCAATCGACGGGGGACTATTTACGTACGTACATTGAAAGGTGTTGCTGCTTAAGACGTCAACTAGGATAAAAAACAAGCCATACGTGGCGTAGAGACATTACTGTCTGTCTGTGCAGTAGTTCTTACCTTACGTCGACCAAGTAGCCGATGAAGGCCTATTGTTTGCTAGACTACAATATGTCACCGACCAGATCCCAAAAAGCCACGGGTTCCTGTCCTTGCCTCACTGTGTCGCACTTCGACGGAAATGTTTCGTATCGCTGTAGCATTGTCGCGCCATTCTCAGCAATCTCCACTTGGTTCTCATTTACGTCGGTGCCACACCAAACGAACATGTAGTCGATGCACGCGACGATCAAACATTGTTCACCGATATCCTTCGTCGGGTCGCGGAAATAGCTTTCGCCAATCCCTGGAAGTGGCACGAACAAGGGATTCTTTGCCGACAAAAAGCTGTTGCACTTGCCACTTTTGTCAGGGTTGGCATACGCCACATCCAGTCGAAAGATAAGTGTGCCCTGGACTTGAAGTCTGCCATTTGGGTGTTGTTGTTCCCACTCGGTTAGCTGAAAGATGAAACCAGCATTGGGGTCTACGATCGGGCGCGCTTGTCGAACAAAGTCTAGCGCCTCACGCACCCCGATGTTTTTGTACCACATCATGTACGCGATTGCCATCGTAGGGGAGCGAGATATGCCCTTCACACAGTGCAAATAGATACATCCACCGCACTTGCGCGCACGCTCAATAAAGTCGAAGATGCTGTAAAAGTGTCTCGCAATGTCCTGCGATGTGTGGTCGCGAAGCCTCATGTTAAAGTAACAAAAATCATCTGGAAACGCAGCCGGAGCCACGCTGGCTGCGCAGTTAATAACATGGGTGATGCCTTTCTTAATCAATAGGGACTTGTTCTTGGCAGCAACTGCACCACCAATGTACAGGAAGTCCGTTAATTTCGAGCACAAAGCGACTTGGTCATCAAGCCGTTTCAATGCCCCGGTCGTAGTAGTACATTGATCCAAAATGACTTGGTCCATCTGTGTTAAGTCCAGCGATAAATTGCCTGGGTTCCGACTACGACGTTGCTGAGGAGCGTACGTTCTCGGTGGTGCGCTCACTCTCCCTCGAGGTGGCATGGCGGTCGACAGTGTCGAGGATGAGGACAGCGCCCCCGCAACGGCATTGCTTCTGCTCTTCAAATTCATATCGATGGATGAAAATACTCGCTTATCCGACGGAGGCGCACTAGCAAAGTGAGCTCCATCTGACAACCCCCTTGGAGAGCGTTTTCTTGCTTGTGTAAGAGAAGACTCCCAGTGACGCGGTGAGGCAGCTGCGCCCGCCTTGCTCTGCATAAAGCCCTGCTGCCAGCAAACCCGCTTGTTTGGCGTCGGTGGAGTACACATTATGCGGCTGTTTACTGACTGGTGTGGAGGTATCGTGTATTTTTGGTCGGTCTTAGTGATGAATGTCGACGTCGGAACTAAACAATTGGCATAAACAGCAAAGCACATGCACAATGTTTGTCAGAGAAATTCCTGAATGTCGCCGGCTTTCCAGTCTTTTAATAAACTGGATTTTTCCGGTCGTCAGTTCAATCTGAAACTATCTTTAGTCCCTACCTCTTGAGATGCTCAGTGACCACGACCCATCATCCAAGAAGAGATTCCGATGTGGACAGCTACTTGCTTGAGGCGAAATGTTCTTTTGTAATGTCGAGTTATGTGGTGGCAGTATTTGTACCGACGACGTTGGGAAGCCTTCGGACGCAAAGGCATTTCGCATACACTGAGCATTTGTCTCTTCTTCTGCAGTCACCAACTCTTCAAATGCCTTGGAGCTAGTTATATAAGCATTAATATCAACAGCATCATGGTTTCGTTAGTTTAGTGGTCGAGCGAATCGGTCACATGTACACACAATGAAGCACAAAACACAGCAATCAGTACATTTTCCCGTCCGAGTAGCATCGAGTCAATGACTGAGGCTCCGCAACAGCACAACATTGCGCTTTTTGGTGTGAATCCAATGACTGCAGTGCGTCTGAGGTGGTTTGAAAAGGTTTAAAGCTGTTGGATACGACAGTTGAGGAGTTTGAAGGCGACGACGACGCCGAGAGTGAAAAAAACGAGTGTGCATTGCTGTCAAGTTTCCGCTTGGCGTTGGAGCCATCGCCGCCGCTGGTCACTTTGCCACTGAAGGGTGTAGTCATTGGGACGAGTTTCATGGCTTGGTCCATAGAAAAAAAAGATGATCCAGTTACGTCTCCAAGTTCTTTACACTTGTTCTTTTGAATTGGATGGATCCAGTAGGTGCTTAAGTGAGAGTTCCTTATGCCTTTTAGCAAAGACAAGTGAGAGTTATAAAGCCGAAACGCCGCAGACGATGCTTCGAGTGCTTTTGCTTTAGTGACGCATATTCAAGTGGAGTGAAAGAGGTCACTCAAGTCGATGGGTGTTGAAGCTGGACGCAAAACGAAACGCTGTTCGTTCTGAACTGTTCCGAAAAACGAAACGTGTTCGCATGCAGTTTAACACGCGACGTTTGGTTCAGTTCTATGGAAGCTTTACCTTCGCTCCTGTGCTGCTTGGTCGTTCTTATGAAAGCTCAAAGTGACCTTGTGTGTTGCCCATTGGGAGTAGCTTAATATTGGTGTTGATCTATGCAAGACAGTGTCAGGCTGAACAAAGTTGTACGAATTAGGATCTACAAGATCTTTGGTCATACCTCGGTGTTACGCGGGGCATCAAACTTGCACCAATTACGACGACATGCAATAACATACAACGGCATTCGTTAGCTCAACAAGGAGTCTTTCCCCTCTATTACTCTCTCGTGTACCAACTTCTTTTCTGCCACCGTTTCATGCGTACCGCGTAGAACGATATCGCATCCCGTCCACTATCATATCAACGACCCTCGCAAATTACTCTCACTTATTGCGTAGGTGACACGTCTTGCTCACTCGCATCTCAACCTCCACCGATATTCAGCATTCTTCGAAGATCTTGAGTCATCGATAACTCGACGGATATCGAGGTTGTCGTTTTTACTTCCGGGGGTGCCGTCGGTATCGATGGCAATAAAGGCTGCGGTGCCAGTCCAGGAGGTGGACCTGGTAGGAGCGGTGACGCAGTTGGCGCAATTGTATACTGATCAGACGGCGGCGTATGCGGCGGCGAGAGTGTTGGTGAAGTCGTCATCGAAGACGATTCATCGTCATTGCTCAAGCCTGCGATCGGTTTAATGAGAAATGGTGGCATCGGGAGCTCCGTCGGGTCAGGTGACTTCTGGAAAGCTGACCAGGCCCACTTTCCTGCGGCTGAAAGCTGCTCCTTTTGTTTACCAGTACGCGACTGCTGACTGTTGCTGGATTGAGTGCCATTGCTGTTCGTATTACTTCCCCTACTTTTTCCCTTTCTTGACGACGTGTTTGCTGCGAACACGTCCACGACTCCTTCATTTTCCTTCCGTCGTCGTCCAGGCGTATTGGATCGAGTCTTCGGTTTCGATCCCCGCTTTACTGAGCTGCTGTGCGATCTCGCGCCATCTGTGACGAAGATCGTAATGAAAGCAGGCATTCAAACCACACAGGAGTCTTCAGTTCCTAGAATGCCGATGTGCAAACAAGGTAAGCATAACAATTATACCTGTAGTAGCTTGCAGGAGATTTCCGTCTGCAACCGACGAGTTTGGTGCGCTACGTGATGATAGCATCATAGACGGCGTAAGCAATAGTTTACCACTGTCTGTCCTCAAATCCCGAGTTTCTGCTTCAGTTGTTACTGATGTCTGCTCCTCCGATGGGTACACAAAGTAACCGAGATCTTTGTCCCAGACACGCGCATCGATCTTCATTTCCTCCCGCTCGTCGTCTCCCTCTGCAAATTGAAGCGAGTCATTCACGTTCTCGTCATTGTCAAAGAACGGCACCAAAGGGCGCCCGACCAAATCTTGTGATGCCATGGTTTCTCTAGCGTATGTGTTAAAAAGGAATTGTACAAACTACAAAGGGCTGGATAATAGGTAGTAACTTGAGAAAACACGTGCGTTCAGCTTTACACGGCTTGCTTGTTGTATGAAGACGGTCCAATTCAAAGTAATAGCTCGGTCTTTAACGTAACGCAATCCTTTGCGTCTTATAGTGAGTGTCTTATAAAATAATGTGAAGCTCTAGGAAGAACTGTCGTAATGTGTCTGTCTGTCGGTAGCTTGAGATCTGCTCAACTATTATTCTTTTTTTAATGACTGAGAGGGAATTGGGGAGAATGGTTACATGTGGTTTCATTTCTTCGAGCTAATTTGCTGAAAAGGCACAAGTATCTGAAACGTGATTTGATGAAAAGATGCAGCTTCAAGGTGCAATGACAGACTTCCGCATTCATTATATGTGGCTAGGTGAAGTGATTACTTCCATACTTTGTAGGCAGTAAATACTTGTCCACCACACCAAGTAGAAATTCCATAGAGAATCGTAAATGATCTCCATTCGTAGAGACAAAGTGGACCTTACCGGCTTCGTTAAGAGTCTTCAGTCCAAACAAGTCTTCCTGGTACCATCTCGTCTCGTTAAAGCCTAGCACGTTCATATGTGGATCGCCATCTTCGTACATACCAAACCACTCCGACTCTTTTGGAAAGACCTGCGTGTCATGATTGGCGCGAACGAGCACAAGATTTTGCAGTTTTGTAAAGTTGTCCTTGTACGTCTGGTTGATAGATATCTTCTCGTTATTGAGATCGGGAAGAAATTGAGCTGTGAAATTAAATCATTAACTGACATGAGTACACTCTTAGCTTGTCGCCACAGCAAACTGCAAACGTACCATGCTTGAGATAGTCTTCAATGCGAAGAGGGTCTCGATAGTAGTTCGCCTGCGCAAGGTGCTCTAAACAACCAGCAAAAATCAGTATTTGTGGACATGCTCTGAGACTAGTGGCATTGTGCTTGCCTTGAACCCGTTTAGTGTATACGGCTTCTCCAATAAGCTAAACAGTTCAAGAAGTAAGACCCCTTTTTAGTCTCATCACACAACTCATTCACACCTTTCGCACCTTGTCAATTTCCTTGCAAATAAAGTTGAGAGGGGAGCATCGTGGTAATCCACCCACGCCAGCAAGCGGTCCATGAAACGAAATAAAATTGTAAACCGGTGGATCATTGAAACGCTCAATATACGCGCGAATCAACAAGTTGCCCTGATCTCAGTACCGTTGTTTGCGTTAGAATGGGCCGTACACTCTCCAACATAACAACAAAACCAGCTCACCTGCGAGAATCCCACCGCATTGAATCCATGTGCTAATTGCGCGTCCTATTGTATGGACAAATATCGTCAACCACACAAGATTGGCGACTAATTAGATCCCAACGACGTCGCACCTCTCGCACAATCCTGGCAAACATTTTTGTCTGGTTGTCCATCGTGACAAAAAAGCTGTTCTCCATATCTTCATTCACCGAATTGCCCAGCTGAACATTTGCCACATAAACTCCGAGATGCTCCGCAATTGCCTATCAACACACAAATTATAGCCATTTTCCATTGAATAGAGCAAACACAACAGCAACTCATTACCTTTTGAATACGTATCATTCCTCCATTACGTGCAGCATCACCCATTCCATGCATTAAAACTACAGGAAAAACTTTCATCTCTTCATATACGGGCAGCTTTTTTTTCGTCATCGTTACTGCTACTTTATCCTCCAACTGCAGCGTCTCTCCGTTTTCAAAATACGTCACCGACTCTACTTTAATAAGTACAAGCTGAGTCACAACAAGAAAAGCTATGACTCCCGCCGCTATAAGCAGCAATCTGTTTGCTCGTGACATCGCTGTCTACTTAACGTTATCAGATGGTACTTATAGATATGCGGCTTCTTCGGGATGGCACTAATACGAGGTGCTACTACAACAGAAGGATGTTCTTTTCCACTAAGTACGATCACATGTCTGGCTGAAAAATCCCCTGACAAAAGTGATTAAGCCATCGAATGTCTGCGTTTAGTCGATCGACGGTGGTGCGTAGTGCTGGCGATGCCATGTCTCGTGCTGGCGCTCGTGGATGGGGGTGGTATCATCGCTCACTGGCCAAAATGAACGCACCAGAGGCGGCTGCTGTGGACTACGATGCTGTCGTACCCACGCCTGTACAGCCGCGGCCTCGTGCCTTCCTAGACGTGAGCATTGGCGGTGCTAAAACTGAGCGTATTGTGGTGGAATTGGCCAAGGATATTGTACCGCAGACAGCTACAAATTTTATCAAGATGTGCACAAACGGGTTCATGTCAAAAGCGCTGGGCTCCGGCTCGTACAAGAACACCAAATTTCACAATGTGACCAAGGGCGTGTACGTCGTGGGCGGTGACGTGCTCAGTGGGAACGGCACGGGTGGCCATGCAGCATTAAAGGAGAATCAGCGATATTTTGATGACGAGAACTACGCGCTGCAGTTCTCGGAAGAAGGTGTGCTGGGCATGGCCAATGCTGGTATCAACAGGAACGCGTCGCAGTTCTTTATCTCACTCAAGCCGTTGCCGCATCTTAATGGTCGCAACGTTGCATTTGGCAAGATTGTGGAAGGCAAGGATGTGCTAAAGAGTATGCAGAGCGTCTACTGTGTGCAGCATAAGCCGCTGACGGATATTGAGATCGTCAACTGCGGCGTGCTGTAAGTAGGGGTAGAATTTGCTACGATGCATAGAGTATTGTGAAATTTTACAGACACAGACGAGAAGAGGGCGTTGGCAAAAAATTGGATTGCTATAGAAATAACACGATGCTTGGCGGTGCTTGTACACACGCCTTTTTTTAGTTGTGGTTCTTCTTTGGTTCCGGTGTGATGTTCACGACTCGCCGCGACTGAATTTGCATCAATGCGCTGCAGTTTTTTTTTTCGACAGCTTCAACTAGATTACACGCTGTATTCGTCCGTCATATCTGCTGCACGAAGTAAACAATAAGCGAACCTTTTTAGCCTTAAGAACTCTTTCTGTTTTCTTGTAAACTCCTTTGTAAAATAATCACACGCATGGAATCAACAAAAATGCCAAAGCTTTACCACGCATATGCCGTGGCCGCATTAGTCGTCCTTACGCACCTCCTTAACAAATTCTTCGAATAGAGCTTTTCAAAACTGCGATTCAGTGACACCGTGCCCCATTGTGTTCGTCGACGACAGTCCACCCGTGATGGTATTCTGCATGGCATCCACAAACTCAGTGCCCGACCAGCCCTGGTGTTTTAACGTCTCCACGCCCTCGTTGCGCTCAGCACGCTGCACACCCTCGACGTACGCGAGCATACCACGCTTGGCGTAGTCGCGAGCGAAACGGGTGATGCCTAATGAATCGCAGTGGAAGCCCGCCAGCGTGATAAACATCCAGCAGAAGCCCAGACGAGCCAAGTCCGTTACGAACGTCTCAATCTCAGTGTCCGACATGCCAGCAGCGTCCCAGTTGAACGATGGTGACAAGTTGTACGCTAGCATCTGATGCGGAACCTTGGCTTTAACGCCTTCAGCAAACGTACGCGCAAGCGGCACGCCCGGCTTGGCCGTTTCCATCCAAATCAAGTCAGCGTATTCACCGTAGGCACGGCCACGGGCAATACAGTATTCAACACCACCGCGCACACGGTAGTACCCCTCCACGGTCCGGGCGAGGTCCCAGTCAAAGTTGACGTTCACACCGAGCGACTTGGCCAAAGCTTGCAGCTTGGGCAGACTCAGCTCCAGGCACTGGGCGTTCCACTTGGTCAAGGCGTCCGAACGGCCCGACTTTGTCAGGGCCTCGCGGACAGCCTCCGGGTAAGTCTTGGCCTGGGCACGCTTGTCCCAGTCACCCACACGACCCGCGCGGGTGGCTTCAATGTACGATTCCACGTTTGGGTTGGTGGCACCAATAATGAAGGGGTGGTCACGAGGATCGATATTGTTGTCCAGCAAAGTGGCAGCCTCAGCGTCCGTGCGGGCCACAATGACCAACGGGCTGCCCAGAATGTCAGCCTGTAGACGAGCAGCAATCAGACGCTGAATATGCTCTTGCACCGAGACAAGCACCTTGCCGCCCATGTGGCCGCACTTCTTCGTGCCAGGCTTCTGGTCTTCGAGGTGAATGCCAGCGGCGCCACGCTCAACAAACATCTTCGTCAGCTTCATGACAGCAGTTAATCCGCCATGTCCAGTGTCAGCGTCAGCCACAATGGGACGCAGAAAATCCGTGGGCGGCATGCGCGCACGCTCGTCGGCAGTCATGCGGCGCCTGGCCTCGTATTGCTTGCGGTCGTGGAAGAGCTGGGCACGAAAGAGCTGGTCCACTTTGTTGGGTACTGTGTCCATGGGATAGTCGGCCACATCCGGTCCAGGTTCATTAGACGTAGAGGCCGTAGACGACGATTGCCAACCACTAATGTAGACAGTGGACAAATGTTTCGCCATTTGTGTGACCTGGATCGTGTCCAGCGCACCAAAGGTATGGCTTGTCTTCTGAGCAGCCTGCAGTTCACGCAGCATCTTATAGAGCTTGCGAGACATTGCGGCACCGGCATTGGCGGCGGGAACCGTGCCCTGAAGCTTCACCACGTCTTCAGCGCCATACGGACGCTTGACAAACTTGAAACGCTCGCTGTGAATAAATGCCTCCGTCTGCTTTATACGCTGTATGTAATCGCTTTCCTCGGTGCGTGGATCGTGGGAGATCAGGTGGCTAGCAATTTGGCTGATGCGGGTATGCGGGGCACTCATGGCAAATGGTACTTAGAAGTCACTTCACGTAGGGGTGGTAAATTCACGACTAAAGCTTTATTCAAAGATTCAGGGCACGACGAGATCCGCTTCTTATTGGCTGAAAAAATTAAGATGATACGGTGGACATTGGCCAAAATTGGATCAGTAGCGTTTACGCGACGTCGTCACTAGCACCGCTTGGGTATAAAACATGCTCAGTGCAACTCACGTCGGGCTTACTGCGTGCCTGACGTGAAACTTTTATGCAGATGTTGAAGATGGCGACGCTCTTTGGCTTCACGTGTAGATAAATCTTCTCTGCAAAATAGCGAGTCCGATCATCACTGTCAAATATTTAGATGCAGTGGGACACGATGGCTACGAAAGAAGCTTGTACAAGTGAGCATGGACAAACCAATTACTTGGCTTTCCCTAGTTTAGCTTTAAGCAGTTGTCTCCGCCATCCTTGAGAAACATAAGCATGTACTAATTTAGTCACATGACAAGTATGGACCTGCTGTCAACTATATAATGCTTTATAGAATCTATTCGTTAGTCAATCATTTGTTTTACATGGTCGTCCACCCTGTTGATATGTCGTTAACTTTTCTGCATGAGACGGATCAAAGTCAAGGCTTCTATCAAGCGCTGTCAATGCGCTAGACTGCAGAATCAGGAAGAATCAGACGCTCTTTCGTTCGCATGTATATAGAGTACGTACGTATATGACCGACTTTGTGGTGCAAAATTACTCCATACTTGCCCATTTTGCATACTGTCTTTTCCCATGTAAATCATATGGTTTATTTCATTTAACCAATAACGTGCCTCTCTGTCAAAATTCACTGAACCTTTTTAATAAACCGTTTTCATTCGGTGGCCTGTATGTCTTAAAAGCACGACGATTTGCACCAAAATGAGGAAGTTGTGCTCAAATTCCCCCTACAAAAATCAATTTTACCCTTTTCTGAGACCCATATGACAACGTATTTCTTGGTATCATACGATTCCCGAGTCACGGTCGTCGGTGGCGAGTATCTGAGGCAAAAGGGCGCGCTGACTTCACTCTCCTCGGACGACCATGACAACGATCAAGCGTCGTGAAAGTATTGAAGTATTCCGTCTACGACTGCGCGAGACGGTGAATGAGGGCGACGATAGCGAGAGTGTCGGCACGCGCGGTCTCTTGAGTCTGTCAGAACAGGAACAGGTTTCGATCCCGTTGTCACGCGCCAAGGAAAGCGCTGGATACGAACGGAAAGAGACAATGAAGAAGAAGCAGCAGCAGCAGGGACTGGAGGAGATTGCTCACGAGGTTGAAAGAACTGCCGCGAAACGTCCGATTCGTGTGGAGGTTCCGATTGACAAAGACAGCGACAAGGAGGAGGAGTTTGTTACTACGGAACAGAAGATTCTAATTGATGCCAAGAGTGAAAACGAGGAAGAGGAGGACATTGACGGACGTGAACATAGTGAGAGACGCAAACCGTTTCTGCTGACATCATCGTCTTCGAGTGATGGGAGTAGCACACGGACGATGCGCTGTAGTCTCGATGCCGCTGACTCTCCGTCTACTGCGATAAATGATGGAGATACTGCAGCTATGGAAGTTTTAGAGCAATTGAATGAGCATGAAAAAGTGTTGGAGACTAATGAGCTCGTGACAACGGACAAAGGTATAAACATGGAAACAACAGCAGTACAGACAGCGTCATGCTTACATTCACCACCTACAAGTCAACCAAAAGACAACAGTCGCGAATCGAGGCGTGTTGTACTCGTGACGCGTCCGAGCCAAAGGTACGTTTAGGGTGTGTTTCACTTTATACTGGCATCAAAGGTACTCATCGACTAAAAAATTGTTGCTAAATGTGTGTGCAGGGATATTGAGATGTGGACGGAGCGTGCTACGAGCACGATGGTCAAGTCCAGAGGCAGCAGTGCTCGGCCAACGCCGACCAGTGCACAGAGTCGAAGGTGGGTGCTTGAGTACAAGCCCGTAGTCCGTCACTCTGGATGGCTTATTAAACGTGGTCATGGTCTGCGTAATTTCAAGCGTCGACTGTTTTGTATTGTGGACAATGAGCTTATTTATCACGACACACATGATGCGACAGAGGTGCGTGGTCGACTGGATCTCACGCGCAAGAGCACAGTGCAGTGTATGCTGCATAGCGGTTTCAAGTTTGCACAAACAGGCTGCAGCATGATTTTGTATGCCTTGGACAATCACGACCGCGACGTGTGGATTCGAAAATTACAGGAGCATAATGTGCAGTTGCTGCCTGAGGGTGCCAAGACTGCTAGGCTTTTGAAGCAGAACAGCGATAATGCAGACAAAGACGGCCCAATTTTATTTTCCGGTTGGCTACGCAAGCGTGGTCGTATGGTAAAATCGACAAAGCGTCGTTGGTTCGAGTTATCAAACAGTACGCTGTCGTATTATACTCATCCGCAGGGCGGCTCCCGTAAGGGCTCTATCGACATCTCCCACGCCCGGATCTCACGTGTAGACAACCTCAAGACGGGTCAAAATTACAGCTTCCTGATCTGCACCGTCAGTCGAAACCTGTTCCTGCATGCTGACAGCCAAGAAGAACGATCGATGTGGCTAGCAGCCCTTGCTTCAGTAGGCGATGGCTGCTCAAGTGTAACACAAGCTGGTGAAGTGTCTCCAAAATCCAATGCTAACGATTTTTCTATGCCCACGAGTGTGTCGGAGATTGGCCGGATGTGCAAATGTGGCGCTTTGGAGGAAGGCGGTGCGGCTATTGATGGTGTTTGTCGCCGCTGTATGTCTTCCTTCATTTCAAACACTGAAGACGTGATGTTGGATGTGGCACGCGAAGTGCAGCTGTTGTTAGCATCTCCATACTCACCGGAAGGTTGCACATCGGCTGCTTTCTTGAAAGAGCACACTGGTCGTCCAGTCAACAACGCAACGGTGCGGCAGTTCATGACTGGTCTCTCCGACTACTTGATTCATACTCGCTTGAAACAGCTTCAGATGCTCGCAGGTGTCGCGCATTCTAATAGCGAGTCGGATAGCGGGTCCGATGACGACATAAGCAAAGGGAAGGCTAACACCGGTCACCCTCAAGATGCTGCTGTGGTCAGTGAAATCACGAACAACATTCAGATGATCGTTTACGAACAGATTGAGGAGCGTATTTGTTTTCCACTCTATCGTGTGATCTTGGCGAATGTGCATGCACAAACACGAGAGGATGCAAAGTTGCTGAAGGGAAAGATTGAGATACTGCGCAGCAAGTCGCAAGCATTTTTTGGCATTGGCCCCGCCAGCGTGTCATCTTCTAAATGGATTTCAGCCTGCTCAAAGTTGCAAAAGGTCGACAAAGTGAGTCTTCCGTACATGAAGCGTGCGCAGCTACTGGCTGCCTGCAAGGACATCTACACCGTGTACCACACAGAACACCCTACGCAGCCACCAATGAGTGCTGACGCCTTCATCCCAGCCTTCATCTACGTATTGATTCACTCACATCTACGCGATCCCGTAGCGCTCAAAGAGTTGATTACGTTCTTCGATTCGAGTAGTCAGCATGGAGAAATTGCGTACTTTGTGACATGTCTGGAGATCGCGCTTGAGTACATCCGATCGCTCTTGACAGCATGTACTGTGGTTCTGTCCTCGAATCGGAAGCTTGGTATTGAGTTTTCTAAACACGTCGAGGCCGACGTGGTAATTGTTCATAGACTAGTCCCGGGTGAACAGGCCCAACAGAGCGGCGTAATCAACGTCGGTGATGTGCTGGTTGCTGTGAATGGGCTGCCTGTGTACGAGATGGATTTAGATGAAGTTGCAAAACTTTGGCGTGGCGTGGATGGCGAGGCCGAGTTATGCTTCCTGCCAATGGACGAGTATTTGAGGAAGTACGGCACGTCCTGAGCTGATAAGCGCTTTTGTTATTCCGAAGCTGCATTGCTGCCGCCGCAAGCGTTTAAATAAGGCGTGCGAGGTCAATCACTGGTTGTGATTTCAGATTGTCCGCTGTGGCTTGAAGTTGTTGAGTATCATGCAAAGAGCTCGTGTTGATCATGAATAGCTGTAGACGATTTGATTTATAAGTTTGAGACACAAGAAGTCTTGGATGATTTTATAGTTGCTCTCGTTTCTCGAACGGAATGGATTGAAATGCCACAGCTTACGTTATCGGGTGGGACAATAAATGGCAAGGATCATACAGTAGGTATTGTAACATGATAGGAATCCAGCAAGAGATCAGACAGTAGCTACTGTAACACCATAGAAAACTTTGCGGCAGGAAGAAATCATGTTATCAAGTATGGATAGCAATTGGCGTATTGTACCGCTACGTTCCCAAGCACTATAGGACACCTTGCATCAATATGAAGGTAGAATGGTCTATACGTGCTTGCATAATTAAAAGAGAGACTTGTAGCGCAGACAATGTTCCGGACCATGTGGGGCTCAACCAAGTTCCAGCGTGTCAAGAGTCTTTGGCATACTCGGGTCGGTCACATCAGAAGCATTAAGACCGTTGACAGCCAGGAAACTTCGGTTCAAGAAGCAACAATGACTGCAGAACTGGATCAAGGGTATCGTGATTCCATGATCATTGACAAGGTCGAGATGCAGACGCCTCGTACCCCTACACTTGACGCAGACTTTCACCGATACACAAAGGAGCAGGACCATCAAACCACCAAGCTTTACACTATCTCGGTGTCCCCTGTGTCATCATCGTTGACGTCAGCCTCGTCCTCCGTATCGACATTGTTGTCGTTCGTACCTGCCGTTTCGACGCCTTGGAGAAGATGTCCTTCGGCTTCGGATTGTTCGTCATCAACAACTTCGTCGACCTTTTTTCCGTTCGCATCAGTAAGTTCATCGTCGACTTTATCCCCACGAAAAGCTGCCGAGAACGCCATTAATAACGTTCACACTGTCTGTTCTCGTGGTCAGACCACAGTCTCCAGTTCCATCACTCGTGGAAGTCCATACGGTGAGTTGATTCTTGTCGACATTTTGGAAGCTCGTGGGCTTATCCTTGACCGAAACGAAAGTGGCGTCGATGTACCTTTCATTGTCACGATGCAGCTCAGTCGAATGCGTCGCAAGACAAAACCTGCCGGTCATGACAGCTTCACAGTGAACGAGCGGTTTGTGTTCTGGCTACCGTCCTCATCGACAAATGACCAGCAAACATTGAATATCTTCGTGCGTGATGGTGACGAGCGCGACCTCGGCGAAGTGCATCTCAGCCTTGCAATGCCAATAAACGAAGCTTTTACAGATTGGTATCCGCTGGTTTGCAGAACTGATGGACGTAAGCACGGTTCCATTCGGGTGACAATGCGTCGGCTCGTCCTCACATCGTCATCGATGCTCGAAGCTGCTACAAACTTGAGCGAACGAGAAAGTTGTTTGAGCTTTAGCAATCGCAGAGAGCTTTTGCCAGAGTTGTGGAGCTGCTTCTCTCGTACTGAGTCAGAAGTTATTCCGTCTAGAGAGGACGATATCAGCAACAAACTTGACATCCAGCGAGACGTCTTCTAGTCCCGTTGCAAAGTGCAGCGTACTATTGCAGTAATCAATGACGTTGAACGTGATAATATCCTGGTCCAGAGCATGCCGTGCGTGACGATTACAACAAGGTTTGGGTAACACCTCGAAGCCATTCGATAACGCATTCACCATTGAAAAAAAGTCTATGTATTGGCTTTCATTACTATGCAGTTTTCGGCTCGACTCGATCCAGCAATTGCTTGAAAAAGTCATGGTCATGCTCAGTGACTGCACTATATACTGTAGATAGGAATAGCGGACTCAGCTTGCTCTGTCGACGTGAATACAGACGCAAACTCAATAAACCATTTGGCTGCTTAGTACAGACGTTTCTCGTACGCGTGCAGCGAGTGGACGTTGCCCTCACGTTGAGCAGCCGGCGTGCGAAGTTCAAAGCGGAGCTCTCCGTTATGGAGCGCCTCGTGCACCGCGGCCATGGTAACTTGTCCCAGGTCCTGCAGGCCGTGCTTAATGCCCTGCTGCAAGTACGGAACGTACTTCATCAGCGAGCCCTTGTCCACCACGGAGCCGCTCACGCCCTGGGCGACCTTGACAGCAGCGTGCGTGGCAAAGTAACGTTTCGAAGATCCCTGCGTCATAGCCTCGATTGAGCCCATGCCACGATACTTCTTAAGACGGACGCCGTCCTGGAAAAAGTACTGGCCGGGGGCCTCCTCGGTACCAGCAAAGAGCGAGCCGCACATGACGGCCGAAGCTCCAACCGTCAGAGCTTTCACAATGTGACCCGAACTGGCAATACCACCATCAGCAATGACAGGTACGCCAAATTGACGGGCATAACGAGCAGTGTTGTACACGGCACTGGCCTGAGCGCGGCCGACAGCGCACACCTCCTGTGTAGTACAAATGGAGCCAACACCCATGCCGACCTTGAGGCCGTCCGCGCCAGCGTCAATAAGGCGCTTACACTGTGCGCGGGTGACAACATTTCCACCGATTACGTCAATCTGGGGGTACGTCGCCTTGATCCACTTGATCAAATCAACCTGAAACGTCGAGTCGCCTTGTGACGAGTCAATAACAATGAGGTTCACGCCAACCTTGACCAGCTCCGTGCAGCGTTCACGGTCGTTCGGACGGGTGCCAATGGCAGCACCAACTAGCAGCTGTTTGTTGGCGTCCTTGGACGCATGTGGAAAATCGCGGTTCTTGACCAGATCACGACGTGAAATGAGCGATACAAACTCGCCCTTGGCATTGACAATCGGCAGTTTCCCCTTTTTACTTTCCTGTAAAATAAAGTTTGCTTCCTTTAACGAGACACCCTCCGGGGCAGTCACAAGATCTTGAGACATGACGTCTTTCAACTTGGTTTGACGGTCCTCAATAAAATCAATATCACGATTGCTTACGATCCCAACCAGTACACTCCCGACCTTGCCAGATTTTGTAATAGGAATCCCAGCAAAACCAAATTCAGCCTTGATACGATCGACATCAGCCAGTGTATTCTCAGGTGAGAGACATTTGGGATCGGTAATGAACCCATTCTTGAACTTTTTAACTAGACGCACTTCCTTCACTTGCTCTTCAACTGTCATATTATAATGGATAATACCAATACCACCGTGTAAAGCCATACCAATAGCCATTGCATGCTCTGTAACTGTATCCATTGGGGACGAAACGAGTGGTAAATGGAGTAAAATATTACGCGAAACTTTCGTCTCGAGCTTTACAGCGTCGACACCAAAATTAATATGACCGGGCATGAGAATCAAATCATCGTAGGTATAACCTTGACCTTGATTTTTATTTATAAAAATATCAGCAGCAGAACGACCGTCTAATAATTCAGGATCAATTGTAGTATTGAGAGCCATTGGGGAAGAAAGGAAGAGAAACGTGCGAGGTACACGAGAGATAGTGGAACGACGTTGCAAATGCTCAAGTGATGGAAGTACTTGGATACTTGATGGCCAATGGTTTTGAAAAGTCATTTTGACCAATGAAGAGACGGAGAAGAAGAATAATATTCGATTTATGTATTAAGCAGAAAAGTACGACTAAAGAGCAGAGTACTACAGGAGTATAGTACTACAGGAATATATTACTAGAAGGGTTTGGGGACAAAGTACTACAGAAGCAAAAGTACTACAAGAATAAATTACTGAGATAAATTACTAGACTGGAATAAAAATTGGTTTTTTAATTTTCTAAAAGTTTATCTTATTAGCACCGTGAAGCAATCACACTTATCGCGTAAAAAAGGGTTCAAATGTCTACAACCGATGTATACAAACTGCAAGTGATTTTCACGGAAGCACGAGATATTTACGACTGTACAAACGTCCATAGGCTACTACTTCTTCAAGTTGTGCGAGTGCTTGAATCTAATCAAGATTCAAGCCAAAAAAATGGTAAAGTTTACAGACTCCGACGCTCCTGATGGCGACGCAGTAACACACGTCGTTCAAGCTCTGGTTGCGCTGCAACATGACCCTCAATCTCTAGAAGAACAGGGCCTTGCAAGCGTGAGAGAACCTGTGCAAACGTTGGACGACGTTTAGGGATATCTCGAAGACAATCTTCGATAAGCTTGCGACGCTCAGGCAGACAACTGGAAGGCAATGATGGCCTTAGTCCTTTATGGGCTACTCGCATGAGTACCTTTAATCCTGTCTCCTCTTGATCGTGGTATGGAGTATGTCGTGTCTCAAGCTCTGTGAGCACGATACCGAATGAATAGACATCAGCCTCTGGACCATATCGCTCACTACGAATGATCTCGGGAGCGAGCCAAAATGGGGTGCCAACAAGAGTGGTGAGTGCATCGACACCCTTGTTGTATCTGCGACTGAGACCAAAATCACCCACTTTACAGCCAAATGTGGCAGAGCAGAGGATGTTGACGCTTTTGAGGTCGCGGTGCACCACTGGACGTTTCTGGGAGTGAAGATAGAGCATACCTTGCACAGCATCGATCGCCATCTTCAGCAAAGGATCTGCCCACGTAAAATTCTTTCCCAGGCTCGAGTGTAGCACACGGTGCATGTCACCATTCTCCAAATACTCCATCACAATGCACAGGTTAGAAGCGTTGTCCCAGCTTGCACCAATGAATTGAACAATATTTGGATGCCGCAGGCACGACATTAGCTCAATTTCGTCGCGAAAACTTGCCAAAGCGCTGTCTCCATTGAATGTATCCCGAGTTTCATTCCGATTCCGGCCCACGCCAGACTCGACAATGTATTCACGACGCATACGCTTACAAACAACAATAGTGCCGAAGTATCTAGCCTTGATGACATCGCCCATGGAGCCACGACCGATCGCTTCAAGAAAAGTAAAATCAGCAAAAGGGATGTGAACCATCTCAAGATGGTGCATTTCAGGCGCTGCCAGTACTCGAGCCACGGCGCGCTGCTCATCTGCATGAGCAGAGTCATTCTGTAATGCTGCCTCAGCCTCTTTTAGGGATGACTTGAGGTTCTCATTCTCTTTCTCAACCAAGAAATTTGAGAGGAAAGAACGGCGATTGGTGCGGTCCGACGAGTATGACAGGACAAGCAGGAGGATGACCGCCATTCCATAGGCAAAAGTAATGATCCACTGCAACTGGAGACCGAACGCACTCACGACGATGGCATATATGGCGACACCAGTGACTGCTACAACCACCACTTGAACGAACTCTAGACGAATTGATATCACAAACAGGAAGCTAAACAATGACGCAAACCCAACAAGCGTTTGAACCAGTGCGTCTGAGCACATGTGGGTCACGCTAATTGTCAGGTTCTTTTGCTCGTCGCTGAGGTAAGCCAAAGCGTTAGTTATCGTATCATTGCTCAAATTGTCATCAATACCACTTAAACTTCCGTTAATATCAGCAAATGTAGATGTGAGTTTCGAGCTTAAGTGTTCGCATGACAGGTGATCGTGAACGACCGTCACGTACGCATTAATGGCCAGGCGACTGGCATCTGCAAGCCATACTTGAAACGTCAGGTTAAAAAAAATGATAATAAGGCATACCCAGCTGCGCCATCGCGTCTGGAGCGGATTCTGCTTACTTGGCAAAGCGGCAAACGGCAGCGCGATTGGAATGTAGATCCACTGGAAGTATGTCGGGAGGGAGTCGTACGAGAGAATGAACTGCTCCATCCCTGTAAAACCCGAGCTTGGAAGCGCGTAGAAGACGACGTTCATAATCACATGCACGGCCATCCATGCTGCCACATGCCAGCGAGCACGTCCAAACCAGTAAATTGCTGTAAAATCCTGGTACAAAGTTTCAAGCTTCGGGTCCAAGAAAAACCGCGTGTACTTGTTAAAGACCTGTGAGTCTGGTTTCACGAGCACCGCGTCAATGTACTGCACAGTAGCATCGTCTACATCCAAAAGCATTGCTCCTTTGTTCTTTCCATTACTCGCTTTTCCATGTCGATGTCTTCGTCGCTCTTTTTGTCGCTCTCTTCTTCTCGCTCTCCTTTCATTCTCATCATCATGCTGACAATAGTTATTCGTATTGACATACCCGTTGCTTGTTGCTTGACTAGAAAATGATCCTGACGTAGCACGAGGTGGATGTGCAGTAAATTTCACCCTCTTGACGTCTCCTCGAGGTCTTTTTCTATCCTTCAGTCGTCTTGACTCAAACTTCTTGACCATATCTGGACTTCCTATATCGTCCCCCTTCTGTGTCATATCCATTGCATGTGAACGACTTGGCTGCGTACACTGAAGAACCTCGTTCTCTGTTGCAGCAGCAGCAGCAAATAATGGTCCATCGAAAGCTGGAGAAGTGACGCTGCTGTCCGTCTCGGAAGACCCACGGGGGCCTACAATTGGTTGATATTTCCGTCTTGACACCTCCTCATATACTCGCTCCATCCGGTACACGGCGTCTCGCTCGTAACGGCCTTGAGAACGGGAAAAGGTCGATCGACGTGAGACTATTCCATGAGCTGAAGATTGTGCGGCTTCTGCTGTGTCTATGGAGGTCGCAAAAGGTGCATTGGAAAGAGAAGACAGAGGCAAAGACAATGCAGGGTCGGAAACGGTGGTGGAAGTCTCGTTAACTGCCTCTTGCCGTCGGTGATCGGCGAGCAATTCCGCCAACGCGTTCTTCCGCGCCATGTCGAAGCCACTTGCTGACTTTATTGGCAGTTAATGTATTATATTTAATTTCAGCCAATCAAAAGTACGTAAACTTGGATAAAGGGACTGAAAACATGTATGCGAGAGACTATTGTCTGAGGAGCATGGGGAAGAACGCAAACCAAACTAGTCGTTTGCAAGGATACCGCTACTACCTCTATAGTGCATGCAACAAACGTCTCCATATGTAATACACATCTACATGTACGATTGCAAATGCGACATACTACACTTCCTTTTTCTCCACTTTCAAGTCCAATTTCTGACTCTCATTTTTATTTTAACCAATCATAACTGCATATACAATCGATAAACCAATCAAAATCCAGTACCATCCACCACTATCCCTCACTTGATAATTTGCCGCCACGTACTTCGCATCAAGATGAAATTCATGGAAAAGCGTGAGGTTCGAAGCTCATGGTCACTCAACTCTGTACGTTTCATGCAATTGGTTCTAGCGGTCACAATGTTTCTCTCTATGTCCTACATGTGGCAACTCGTCATGTCTCCAACCACAACAACTGAAGAAATTGAAGCAACTGATGCCAAAGATGCTGCTGCCAAGCTCTTTCAAGTGGCAGAGGCGGGTCTGATTGTACATCGAGATCGGTCACGCGCTCATACAAAATATGTGGTGCATGGCTTTGAAGCGGCGCACAAGTTTGTGCGTGAGTACAATGTGGAGATACAAGGACCGTTGTTCCTTTTGTTCTTGAGTGACACGGACACCAATGGGAGCTACTGGTTTTCACCTTGTCAGCTCGCCAAGGATGCAGTGAATATAGGTTTTGATCGGGCACCTCGTGGTTCAAGATTGGTGGAGATTCAAGTGGGTCCAGAGAATTACTGGAATGATCTGATGAACCCGTTTCGACAGAATCAGCTCTTTTACATTGACTACATCCCATCACTTATACGGTATGATGGCGGTGGGAACTCGTCTGCAATGCTTGCAGGACCTAATTGTCTTAATCAAGATCTGCTCGATGTTGCGTTCAGAGTGAACAAACCAGCAGCAGGCGTGCCTCGTAATAATCGCATCCTTCACTTCACTACTGCAAAAGAAGTGATGGATTTTGTCGCCTTGTACGACTACAGCTACCCACTTTTTCTGTTTTTCGTGTCGGGTGTGCACGCTTTCAACAACCGACTGTGGTGTCCATTCTGCGACAAGGCAGAAGTACCGGTCATGCACTACTTTAACTACACGGCGCCGGAAAATGCAGTGTTACTGCGTATTATCGTTGCACGTGAACCTCATCAGTGGTTCGAAGAAGACAATGAGTTTATCGGTCCCGAGTTTAGTGACAAAGTTGTCGTGTTTGACGGTGTGCCGTATTTGGGCTTTGTAAGCAAGAGCGAGACCACCAAGAAGATCAAGGTGACGGAGTTTGTAGCAGGCATGGATCAGCATGCATTGCTTGCAGCATTCTTTAGACAGCAAGTGTCAATCGTGCCAGCAGCAGCTTAGACTGTGATTTGCCTAAAGACGTACTGTATGTTACTTTCATTTTTTGTGATTTGCGTACATCGGCAATGTAAAAAAACGTGTAGGGCGGCAATATTTTTTGTGATAAAAACGTTTTTTTGTGTACCCCATTCTGCACCAGCCATTAATAATTCTCCTCGTCCTTGACAATAAATAATAAGTTAGAAGCAGGCTTGATTAAATCATGGCTATGATGAAGCGACGACGCGAGAATGAAACTGGCGCACAGGTGGACGCGGCTGATGAGGCCAAAAAAAAGCAGAAATTAGCGACAGCGGGTGGCAACAAGTACATTAACAAACAGCGTGTGCTCGTGTTCTCGTCGCGTGGTATCACGACACGTTATCGTCACCTGATGGACGACTTTCGCAAGCTGCTGCCACATCACAAGCGTGAGGTGAAACTTGATGCCAAAGACACGCTTCATGTGGTCAATGAGATTGCAGAGATCAAAGGCTGCAACACGACGATCTTTCTAGAAGCCCGTAAACGACAGGACCTTTACATGTGGATCAGCCGTGTTGGTACGGGTCCCAGCGTCAAGTTTTTGGTGCAAAATGGTACGTGCAACAGCAGCTCTCTCTTTGCTTGTGGATCCTTTTGCTTACTGTAGTTGTCTCTGTCGTATAGTGCATACCATGGACGAGCTCAAGATGACGGGTAATGCTCTTGCCGGTTCGCGGCCGCTGTTGACATTTGACAAGGCTTTTAATGAAGCACCTCATCTTCAAGTGATTAAGAAACTGTTTACACAAGTGTGGGGTACGCCCAAGGCTCACCCAAAGAGTAAGCCATTCATTGACCGGGTCATGAGCTTTTACTATGCCGATGGTAAAGTCTGGTGTCGCAATTATCAACTAGCGGACGATGCCGATACGAAAAAGAATGAACTGGCAGCATTGCACCGTGGCGAAGATCTTGTGCAGCTTATTGAGATTGGTCCACGCTTTGTCATTACGCCAATACGCATCTTTGATGGTAGTTTTGGTGGTCAGACATTGTACCAGAACGAGCATTACGTGTCGCCGAACGAAAACCGCCGTGAGGTCAAGGCTGATAAACGTGATCGTTATGTATCTCGTAAAACGGCCGAGGTTGAACGCAAGGACCGATTGCCTGAACGCAAGATGCCAGAAGATCAGTTTGCCGATGTCTTTACTGGTGCGAAGCAGTAATTTCTGCTAGGGAATATGGTTATCACACAAGAGAGAGAAAGACCCGTCCAACAATTTAGACCCGTCTAAAAATCTAAAAAACCATTTCTTACGAGTTTTAATTTGCACGTATTTCCTTATCGTTATCTCATTGGCTAAAAAACGTCTCTAGAGAGTATACAAAAGTGCTCCTAAATGAAGGCGTTTAATGCCTGGCGAGCTAGTGATGGAGGTAATAAAAGCTCCATGGATGCCGTCACAGAGCTACAGCAAGTCATTTTAAAGAAAGATCTGATGATTCTGAGTCTACAGACCCAATTGGATGCATATACGACACGATTTGGTGTCTTATCGACGGATCTTTTAACCCAATTAGCACAATCGGATACAAATTATACCACGGAATTAAATTTAAATCGGAAGGAATTAGCAGTCGAAAGTAAAGTTTTACGAGTATCAGATAAAACACCGTCTTCTATTGTAGCCACGTCGCCTGCGTCATTAAACGATCGAGTCACTTTGGACACAGACAAAGAGGTACAAAAATGTGTTGGTAAAAATGTGGTACTAGACTTTGTCCAAGACTCGCCCATGTTTCGACGTCAAGTGGAAGATTTTGAAGAGTCTCTTATGGGATTACGAGCTCTTATAAAAGAGCTTGTAATCCATTCAAAAGAGTACGCAGCTGCAGGAAAATCTTTTGGTAAAGAGGAGACGGCACTGGCAGATGAATTGGTCCAGCGCAAACATGCACGTGCTCTTTTTTCTACAAGTTTTTCGGAACTCGGGAGTTTACCGGAATTATTTCGTGAAATGCACGATATATTGGCACAGGTACAGAGTTCACGTGTGAACATGTTGCTTCGTGTCGAGTCGTTACTGAGTAGATTGATACAACAATTTACGGAGAAAGAATTGCTGAAAGAAGCTGGAGAATTACGGAAAGATGTGACAAAGCTGGGTGATGAATATGAAACGCTTCTTGCTAAGCTACTGAGCAAACCTAGACAACCAGAACAACTATCAAACGAAACAGTAACTCCTACTGGATCGGGAGATTTGGTTGGAATGCTGGGACTAGGCAGCCCTGCATTGTCCGGTAGTGGAGCTGGTGATCCCACAAGTACGGGGACGCCACCAGTCTCTGTTTCTAGTGGTAGCAGTAGTATTTTTAGTTCAGATCCGGGGCCAACGACTAGTGGAAGTGAGAAACGTCAGCGAGCTATGGAGCGAGAAGTGATGGTAGCACGCCAACGGTTTGAACTGGCTCGCTTTGACCTCGTTCGGTATCTAAATCGAGTCGACTGCATGAAGAAGCTCGTTTTGACAGAGTGCTTCAATTCCATTATGTACGCGCACCTGGGTCACTATCACGCATGCCACGAGCTGATTAAGTCTGTGGAGCCTACGCTGCGTAAACGTCAAGAGATGATGCAAGTTTCACGCAAGGATTTTGAGCGGGACGAGTTGATGTGGTCATCACAGCGGGAGATTCTCGACAACCGGTTATCGCAAGATGTCGACACTTTCAGTATTAACCTTGGGTCTAATGAATCTTCACCAGTGGCATCAGGTGTGCTGAGCGTTGATTCAGCCGTTTCAACCGCATCGTTCCCATCGCTTGACTTGCCTGTTGAGGTAATCTCAAGTGACACTTTTAGTAGCCGAGAGACCGTGGCCACTTGTTCTGGCGGTCTTGCAAAGCAGGGCTATTTGTTCGTTCGTAACTCAATGTTTCCGGCTAGAAGCTGGAAACGACGTTGGTTCCAGATTCATGCTGGCAAGCTATTTCAGACTACATTTCGTGGTAGTAGTGGAAGGCATCCTAGTGGAAGTTTGACTCTTGTGTGTGATTTATTACTCGCTCGAGTGCGTGAATTAGAGGGTTCATGTCTTCCTTTCTGCTTTGAGGTTATCGACGCGAATCGCACAAAACTTTTACTGCAAGCGGCCACTGCTCATGACATGTTCGAGTGGATTGAGGCTGCACGCCATAGCACCGAAAGCGCACTAGAAAAGCAAAGCCATCGCCAGGAGGTGCATCCGGAGCAACAGTCGGTCATTGACGAGTTAACCAAGGCAAATCCATGCTGTGCGGACTGTGGACAGGAGCCAGCTGAGTGGGTATCGATTAATATTGGATGTCTATTGTGCATTGAGTGCTCGGGCATCCACCGCAGTCTAGGTGTGCACGAATCCAAGGTACGATCACTAGCCTTAGACTCATGGGATATGTCCCTCCTTACGCTGCTTCGTGACGAGCTCGGGAATAACACGGTAAATGCTATATGGGAGCACTCGGTGCCTGATAGCTGGACCAAACCGACATCTACGACAATTCGGGACGAAAAGGCTCGATTTATAAAAGCTAAGTATCATCTCCATGGTTTTGCCGAACCCGATGCAACGTTGCATGCATTGAAGGATGATGATAGTGTATTTAAGCAAGAATTGGCCAAGCGGTTCATCGCCGGAGCTTCACGTGGAAATGTAAAAGAGTTAATGTGGTGCTTAGCACATGGGGTAGACGTCAATGTACGCGCTGGTGAGCAGAACAAAACGGCACTACATGTAAGCGCTGCTGCAGGCGCTGCAACCTGTTGCGACTATCTCGTGCTTAACGGTGCGAGCCTGACGCTAACTGACAAATACGGGCATTTGCCGTACGACGCTGCCAAGCCTGGGGGAGTTGAAACCATTAAGCTTGCACTTACGCAGAAAACGAGTCTCGAACAAAATCAGGTGCAGAGCGACACTTGCAAGCAGCACAGGCCTGACTGAAGACTTATAAGATTCAACAGCGTTTGGGGCGGTAAGTGGTGGAATGATTTTCGTATTAACGATCTAGTTGTACGAGCCATCCTGATGGAAAGCAAAGCTTTGCTCGTCACACGAGTAGAGCGTGGTCGTACTGAGAATGGTTAAAGAAATAGCGCTCCCTCACTCTCGTGTTCCGAAGGCATTTCAATGTCGCTGAGGACATCAGCGTTCGTTGTGTGTGCATGGTATTGGTTCTGTCGTTAGCATCATGGTTTGGGTGCTATGATGCTCATTACGTTATCCCCATCGGTGTGGTGACCATAGGGGTATGGAGGAGGCTACGCAGATGATGAAAACAAACACGAGCTGTTTTGTCAAGTTGATGGCAAATATCTGACTTCGAAAAGTGAAAGAGATGATGGATATCGTGGACAGAGATGATAATGGTTAAATTGGTATCGTCGAGCTCATGATATAGAGACCGCGAGAAATCGATCCAGCGACGTTTGGGTTCATACGACCCTCCACATCTAGCAACAAGGTTAAAGGTCAGGAAGCATCGCGTCATTCACCAATACCGTAATCAGGTCTTGGTCATCTCACAGGTCATCTTACAGGTACCTTGGAGCATCTCAAGCTGCAAATGAATACCCACTTGTCAGATAAAGAGTCGTTCCAGTTGCACTGACGCCTTTGCGTCCCGTTGACTCAACTGGTAGAAGAGTTATTTCACCGTTGGATGCTTTGTCGTGAACTTCTGGAGCGGTGTTGTTGATTATAACGCTTCAGCTTTTTCAGCACGCCAGATACTGCTTCTTCCTCCACTTCTGCAGCCAACGGGAGAAGTAAAGCACGGAGAGGAATCCGGAAAGCTCATGGTTACACTCATGTCCGAGTGGTGCGATTTTTGTCGTAGCCATAGAGATGTCGTAGAAGCTTGGGGAGCAAGAAGAAGGCAAAAAAACGCTCTCGTTTTGCCTGATACACTTGGACAAACTTACACAGCACATAATTCAGTTTCGCGATGAGATACGTCCAAAAGTGGTTGCCGCACCTGCGCAGCAGTGGTCGAAAAAAGTCTTGTCGGAGTATTTCAAAAGCGGAAGTCTGTCCTCGAAACATCGGAGCTATAAGATTTCGGCCACAGTCAGCTGGTTCTGCTAAACTTGCTCATCTGCCACGTACTCTTGAGCTGAGGGCAATAATTTGTGAACAAACCACAGTTCATACCAGCGCAATGATCAAGTATTTCTTCGAGGGTCGGCGTATTTGTTGGAATCTGCCCATTTGGTATTTACGTGCCAATCCGTTCGAAGAGCTTGATTGCAATCTCACCAAGAAAAATGCAAGACGATCACTACGAGCATAGCAGGTTTTTCAAGTGATGCCGTCATGCCTTCGTCGACGAGACATGAATTGGAAGATACGACTGTAAACGTTACGAAAGACGAGTGTCATCGCAATTACTTCGAAGGCTTTGCAAATCAATAAGGCGAGTGAGTAGCTAACGGCGTATGGTTATATCGCTGCAAAAACCTCATGGTTCTGAGCAACTACGGCGCTTTCACACATACATATGATATACTTCCAATCCCCCGAGCGTGGGTATTTTTTCGAGCGAAAACAACAGAGCAAGCACATCATGAAGTAATACAAGTGTATCAAGCGGAACAAGAAAGTGTTTGAATGATATGAGATTGGTGTTTGTCAAAGCGAATGCTGGCGAGACTTCTTTCGTCTGTGCCTGCTTCAACTGATAATTCGATAGCGTGTAACTACTCACTACCGGTGATAGGTAAGTTCTTCGAGAGATGCTTCTCTTATCGCATCTCACGGCTCGAAATTGCGACCATGCACTAAACTTTTCATTGTTGATGCCTTCTTCGTGTAAAGCTTGCAGACTTACTGCCAAGACTCGCGGTGGATCTGTGGCGGCTCAGTTCGCAAAGCTTGCTGTACGAGTTGGAATGAACAGGATTCACGGATAGTGACGGTCGGAGACACTTGGGCCCACCAGACCCGTACGAAATCAGCCCCCGTGGGACTACAGCTTGAGTGTTGGTGCCACCAATTTCGTCATTGGTGTCCATATGAGGGCTGATCTTTTGCAAAGCTGACATCGTGTAGAGCTGATCTAGATCCAACGTGTGTTTCTCGTTGGTACCGCGCTTAAAGTACGTGACGGCAGAGTCGCGTACATTTGAAGTTGGGTGCCAGTCGAGACTGCTACATGACATGTCTAATGTGTCCTTTTCAAGTGACATCGCCTTGGGTATTTGCTGGGTAATATGGTCACTTCGCTTGTCCATTACCCGAAGACCCATGACGCATCGTACGCAAAACTTTGTCTGGCAGATGACTGTTGTGTTTGCAGACTTGCAATTGTATCCATCTTCCATATCTGCGTCCGATACGGCGCGGTAGACGTAACAAGTCTTGCAAACGATATCCCCGCACAACCGACAGTGGTGTCGTCGCCGGAGCATGAAACGGAATCTACGACTGCAAATGCTGCATGAAGCACGCTTTTCGTCCGGAACCCAGTTCTTTTGGAGAGCTAGCTTCTGCCGTGCGATATTCTGGGAGTCGATTACCAACGACAGATCATTAAGGATGGCCATGTTTAGTCGGCACTGAGCGAGAGCAGCGATGGACGACTCATTCGCCTCGCTGGCACTCATAACGAATACATCTGAGGTCGATTTCAGTGCACCTGCTGTGGGGATGACTAGCATTGTGCGCTTCATGCGCACACGTGTTAGCTTCATTGGTGGTCTTGCAAGCTCGGGGCACTCTGGTACATCCACTGAGGCTAGCGCTACAAAGCCGATCTCTTGTCCATTGGTGTCGATCGTGTAGCCCACCATCTCGACGAAGCAAACATCGCGCTTACCTGCAACGGATTGTTCAGCCAGCCACTTGATACCCAAGTAGCTGTCTTTGGTCGCGCGAATTGTGTGTAGGACAGCACCGTCAATTGCAATCGGCGAGAGGAGTTTCTGCTGTCGGACAAAGTCAACTGAATTCGTTGCGTAGTGGACACCGACAATGTCGCGGTAATTCCCTTGAATGCGACCAAAGGTGCGAAAGGACTGGACTGGTCGATGCAGGTTAAGTGGGTCACGACAGGTAGTGCTTGCACTCACGGTCCGACGAGAAAAGGACACTCTTCTCTGGCGAATATAAGAAATGCTTTGACTCCTGGTCCAAGTTTGGCTAGAATTGACCGGATCGTTGTCATCACTAGTCCTCTCCAACGTCGTAGCCCAGCTAGAAGATGAGCTACAAGAATCGGCACCCCGATGTTTAAATGTCTTGAGCTGACCGAGAGAACCAACGAAGCGCCAATTCGAGTCGAGTTTGTTGTCCAGTGCGAGCTGGGCCGTTCGGGCGAGGACTGCGTCCTGCACTTGTTGTTTCATCATAATCTCAAGTTTCAAAGCCTGGGATGGTGAGATCGATATTGGTGCAAACATTGAAGACGTCGTTCTTGATATCGAGTCCGAAAGTTGGAAAATGAGAAACCCAAGCGGCTTAACATCCAGCGACATGTTATTACGAGCACCACGAATGATACAACAGCTGCATGTCGGCTCGAAAGAGACTGGGTCTTTTACAGCGTAAGGCAAGACACATGGTGGAACAGGAGAGCCGACAGCCGGCAGCTGAACCCAACGCCCAAACACCAAACCTCAAGATACAAGTGGATAACGCTTATGGACAGCAAGTGCGATTCCTCTTGTAGTTGTGAGAGACCCTTTTGCTCAAATCCGAGACTCTGCGCTTCACAAGGAAAAAAATACATGGTCCTCCGTCTATCAGCCAGAAGTAACCAACCTAAACCGAGCCTTTGATCGAGCAACACGAATTGTTCTTTGATCGTGAACTTGTGCTCGTTTTTGTGCTCTCACGTGTCGTTGGAAATGTAGGACTGCTCTTGCGTTCTTTGCAGTATGAAACGATCTTACTCCTTGGATCACGTCTCTTGCCATGGGCATCATCCTTCCAGCACGATCAGTTGATGAGACGAGGATCATTTTGTCGCCATTCTGAGGGATCCGTAAGAAGGAGCCACGAGATGCAAGGACTCGTACGACAACAATTGACTTGAGTTGCATGTTCTCATGTGTTCTTTATCGCAGTGATTGTTGTTCACCATCTCTTTGACCACGCAGACGAGCGCTATTGCGTCCGTGGTCTGGTTACGATGGTAGAAGGACAGTAGTCTTTGCAATCTGCAGACGACAACGCTCTGAATATATGAGACTTGTCGCTCATGCAGGAATTGCGCTAACGATTTCAAAGCCCTACGGTGAGACTCGTGGTGAATAGACGCATCCAGTAAAAGGGATCCAAGTTTCTAGATTTCAGTGTCATGAAAGGACTTGCGAAGAAGTTTGTGCGTGAGTATACAGGACATGCCGTAATATAAAAACAATACTGTTTACTAGACGTGGTGCGTCAGGGCTTGAACCTCTCTCAAAGGTCTGTGAGCCGACTCGTGATGGAAACAAGAGAAGGTCATTCAGGAGACAGCAAGTTGAAGTAAAACCCAGATATCGAAGTCTAAGGAATCACGGGACGCACCACATCCGATCTATCATGAGTTCGTTCGAGGGCCCTAAATCCACCCACACCCGCGCTGTTGCACTTGGTAAACGTCCGCCACTTGTACATCGCAGTTCTGACCCTGAATTTAGCGACGCCGAACTCGATGGTACGACTAATACATGGGCGGCTCTCTCGCTCAAGATCTCGTCGAGTAATCATCGACTATTTTATAGCTAACACCTCTTTCTTTGATATCGTTCCCTTTAGATGCTGTTGAGATGGGCGAAGACACAGTATGGGGCAACCTGGAGGAACCCATTTATGCCGAAAAAGACTTGAAGATCTTCCGTCCGAGCCAAGAGGACTCGAGTCTACCTGTGTACTATGCCAAAGGGTGGCTGCCATTCTCGGCCGATACGCTCTTTAACGCACTCATGGACGCAAGATATCGAAAGTCCTGGGACGATACCGTCCATCAGCTGTACGTGGTCGAACATCAGCACGTGAGCGACGTCATGTACTTTGCATTGAACCTGCCGTGGCCTCTGACCAATCGTGACTACGTCTATCGACGACGAGTCGAGTTCTACCCAAGCCAAAACGCATTTGTGGTACTGTATCAGGCTGCACATCATGCCGATGCTCCGGTCAATGAGACCCGAGTGAGAGTGGAAACGTGCACGCTGAGATTGTGTATTCGTAGTCTACCGGACTCGACAGATTCTTGTGACTTTCACCTCGAGTATGAAGACGACACAAACTTTAGCATCCCAAATTATATCGTGAATTGGCTGTTACGGGCAAGGATGCCTTCGTTCATAACCGAATTGCGAAAAGCTTGTGCAGGGTATGCTGACTATGCCAAAACTTTAGAGGATAACGCGGTGCAAAGTATTCCTTCTCAAGTTGTGCGGCATCGGAGCGAGGTTGCTGTTGCGGCCTCGAAACCACCGGTAAGTATGAGCTCATCTGCCAGTAAAAGCGTGATCGGAGCTCATGTGACGAAAGAGCGTAAGGCTGTGCAAGCCAGCCTACGACCACAAGGCAGCTGTTTTTGCAACAACAAACGACCATTTCGTCCAGAGACAAATAGTATGAGCAAGGAATGGGATGACCATGAGGCGTCTCGCAGTGAGCTGCCGACCATGCAGAGCACACGACCGTACTCCTCTTCGTTGTCACTTCCGGAGGAGCTTGAAATAACCAACGGCAAAAGTTCTCATCTGAAGCATTCTTCCTCGGCAGACTTTCCGTCATCACCTTTGACGGAGCTTGAAACCAATAACGGCAAATTCCCTCATCTGAACCATTCTTCCTCGGCAGAGTGTATCAGCTCTGCATCATTTTTCAACACTCCGTCATCGGTGGCAAAGTGTTTCCGTGCCAGCTCGGTGACATCAGCACAGACAGCTTCACGCAGTGGATTTGGATCATCAACACCGTTGGACGATGACTTTACCGTTAGTTTCCGAAAGCAGAAAATTGGTCTACACTTGGAGACTGACCTCTTTTCGAGCAAAGTGCTCGTAGCTTTCTGCGAAAAAGACAGTGAGGCTGCGGCCTGCACTACTGAGCGCATTGAGCCAGGACTCCTTGTCACTTCAGTGAATGGTATTTCCGTGACTGATTTCCAGTTTAATGATATTTTAAGCGAGATCCAAAGAGCTCCACGTCCACTCAAACTTGGCTTTACTCACCCCGACCGCGAAGCATCTCTTCAGTATCATTGCTTCAAAGAGCCGCAAAATGTGTTGAGGTGCCTTGTGTCTCAAGGTGAAACTGATTTGCTGTGCGCGCTACGCCCGCTCGATGAAGATGTAGCTACGGGGGCCGTTCTTAAGTGTGATTTTGTTGCCCCTCCTGCTACAGTTGTGAAAGCAAAATTTACTCCTAGTAGCAAAAGCACGTCACTTGTGGAGCTTTCGTCCTCGGAACGTGCTACAACGTCTACGCTACACTCTTCTACGTCTTTGCCATATATGGGGACAGAACGTGTGCTTGTACCAGCAGGCTACCTCGTCTACGAGATTAATGGTTCGTACGTTCTGGATGTACCATTCGCTGAGACAACTCGCCTACTGCGCCACAGCGGCGACGTTTGCGTGGTGACATTCAAAGCAGCAATGGCAATTGTGGGTGGAAGCAAGCGGCAGTCACTACGGAACAAGTACAAAATGTCAAAGCGTTTGTCAGGTGTGTTTAGAAAGAAGCGCAATGCTTCGGATACCAGTATAACAGCAAGCATCAGTTCATCTTCGTCACAAGAGTGGACAAGTGGAAGAAATGTATCGTCTCAACAGCGAGATGGGAGCTCAGACAGTAAAACAAATGATTCCGAAGACTGTGGTTTGACAGACTATTCTACTGTCACTGTCACGTCTAGCAACATCGACTGGGTATGGCAGCAGGTGGTGCTTCTGAAAACAACAGAGCGTATGTTTTCAGCTGGACTTCTAATCGATCGGCTTAAGACGTTCTTGTCCGAAATGAACAGTACCAACAAGATCATCGCTGCAACTAAGGCGACGGTTCTAAGGGCAATGCACGATGAGCGAGAGTTGCTTGACCACATTATAGAGCGACGTGATCAAGGTGTGATAGCGCTAAACGAGTTTAGAGACAAGGAATGTGACGACGAGTGGCAATGCGGGCAGACAGCATTGGGTGTACATACATCCTGGAAACCTGATCAAGACGGATCGATATGGATCAAAATGGAAGGTCTTGTCGACGGCGTGGACATTTTCAACACGATATCTGTTATTCGCGAGGTAGACCTTTACAGCGTGTGGGCGCCATTTTGCTCGCAATCACTCCTGCTTGAGGAAAAAAGTCACGCGGAACTAGCGGCATACCTGGCTATAACATCTCCATTCTTGCAGCGTGACACAGTTATTCAAGCATTCGGCATTAATGCCTTGTATGAAAATCGCTGTCTGCTATTGCTTGGAGGATCTGTTGACGTGTCGTCCGTGACAAGCTCCATTCCAGTCCCTACATTGCAAGGGTGGAACGCAGGGCGTATGGAAATCAAGGGCTTCCGTGCACTGATTGAGCCTGTCACTCGCATGCAAGCCCGCACGTGCATTGTGGTCAATATCGACCCCAAATGTACAATTCCCAAGTCCATGCTGAACTTTGGAATCAAGAAAATGGCTGGTGTGTTGCTCTACCTAATTCGTAAGGAAGCCGAAAAGATTCAGAGCAACAACAAAAGGCCTGCAACAAGCGCTGCAAATGAGCATCTGTGTCGCATCAAGAGCGACCCTAGTGGCTTCTACACATGGCTCAGACCGATCGTCGACAAGTACTTTGTCGATCAACGCAATAGCAACCTCCCCGAGCCTCTCTCTTTGTTTTCCGATGTCCAAGTTGAGTGGACAGCAGATACTGACGCACTTTGCGTGAGTGGAAGAAAGAGTGTGAAGACTGGAAGTCCGCGGCTCGTAAAGCGACGGACTTGTACTCAAATCGCTGCGTTTCAGCGTAAACGTATCAGCACTTCGTCAATCGACAGTCCAGAGTGTTTTGACGCGTCTGCTTCGACCTTGACCAGCCAATTGGGCGACTACTTGCACAACGTGGTCGTCTGGCCATATCTCGTGCTGTATCTCTTCGTCAAAGTGTCTGCAGACCTCCCTCTACCCCACGCTTGTGCGCTCAAGTTCATCTTTACTTGCACTTGCACGTGGTTGGGTATTTCTCGATCCACTCGACACTGGAAACGAACTTGTAATGAACTGGAATCTCTCCGACAGCAATATGTTGTCCTGGCCGCCATTTTTGATGTAATGAGCTCCTGGGCACTGCGTATCTGGGTTCGATGGGTACAATGCTATCTATGCGCGTTGCTACAAGGCGCGGCTGCGACTGGAATCTGTTTATCGCGCTCACCAATGGAAGTCCGTGAATCGGAACAGTTTCTTCTGTCACTTGTCTGCTTCCTTTATGCCAGCGCCATTGTCGGTGTCCAGATTGCGGGCAACATCTAATCTTCAACTTCAACTTCAACCATTTTAAAGTTGCGCAACTTGACATATAAATAACTGACGCAACTGAAGCTTGATTTCTTACATTATCAACTTCGAGAGAGTAACTTATGGCAAAGCTCAAGGGAGGAGCACCTTCGGGGGGCGGCCGGACAATGAGCTCCATGCGCTTGATGCAGATGGCACTGGCCACTACTATTCTCTTGTCCTTGACCTACATGTTTCAATTCGCGTCTGTGAGCGTCTCTTTTCGCTCAATAAAAGACTTAGAGAATTCAAAGCATGATGGACTACTGCGTAACCACGTGCTCGGCCACTCTGTGCTGTATCTACAGGGCTTTGAAGCAGGGTCTAAATTCGTGAGTGAGTATGACGTGGAGGCACATGGGCCGCTGTATATCCTCTTTATGAGTGATGCAAACGAGAATGGCAGGTACTGGTGCCCGGACTGTGAGCGAGCCAAGAAGCCCGTGATGGACACCTTTTTGCGTGCCCCACGAGGCTCTCGACTCGTTGAGATCCGTGTGGGCCCGCACTCTTATTGGAAAGATGAGATGAATGAGTTTCGACAGAATGGGCTCTTTTACTTGGACTTTATCCCCACACTCATGCGGTACGAAGGAGGTGGCAATTCATCCACGATGCTCACTGAGTCTTTCTGCACAGACACGGCGTTGCTCGACTATGCCTTTAAAGTGAAGAAACCGTTGGCTGGAGAGCCGAACAAGAACAAGGTGCTGACCATGCACTCGCCGAGAGAGGTGATTGATTACCTAGGAACCTATGACAATAGTTACCCGCTTTTCCTATTCTTTGTCTCTGGATACCACGAATTCAATGGAAGAATGTGGTGCCCGTACTGCGACCGTGCAGATGTGGTGGTGATGCATTACTACAACTACACGGCGCCAGACAATGCCATCATGGTACGGGTGACGGTCGCTAACACGTACAAGGAGTGGAAGAAGCCAATGAACCCGTTCAAGCTGCGCGAGTTCCAGGACGTGGTGCCTATGCGAGGTGTGCCGTTTATCGGCTATGTCAGGAAGGACGTTCTTGCTAACAAGATTGACGTGCACCAGTTCACGCTAGACTACTCGGAGACCGAAGAGCTGCAGACATTTTTCAAAAACAAGTCTCGGACAGCACAACTTAATTAGATTCTAGAGGACAATTGTCTCATCTGGTCATCGCGCCGACGAGACCGTAATGTCATGAAGAAGACAATGTCTGAGCTGAAGGAAACAGACGCGTTAAGACGGACGCGCAGGAAGTAGCGGAGACGTATAGATGCGGTGGAAATTATATGGAAGAGTAGCTAGTAAATGGAGAAGCTGATCACACGAGGCGTCGAGGACAAGGAAGTGCACGCTGCAGCAACGACGGGTCCGTACGTACCGGACGGAAGAAGAAAACGCGGTGTTGTACGATCATGAGGTCGCGCTTGAAGGTGCTACCGATACCTTGACGGTTAAAGCTACGATGCTAATGGCGTACGGTGCTGCAGATGCTCTAGAAGAACCACATGATTGAAACAGAAGTCGGCGACGTGAGAGCGGATAACATTGTTGCAGTACCTAGGGAACGGATTACAAACACCACGCCTGTTAACAGCATCGGTAGTGACGACTAGGTAATGACATGGTTATTTGTGGACTGGCGTGGATAAACTGTCTGGAATTGGAAAAGGAACTATGCAACATACTTCTCCTGGTTCAATTCTTACGGTTCTTACTGGGTCTATAAACCCAAAAGACGCCACTAGCTACCCGAATTTTAGCCGAATGCTATCATGTCGAGGCAAATTAACAAGTCAAGACTCGCATAGAAATATCGAACGCCTTGATCCTATTGGAAAAGCGACAATACACACAATAATCGGGTACCAACGTCATCATAGCGTCCTTTTAATGTAGGCAAATTTGCAAAAGATACTGTTTTAGTTTTTTACATGCAATGACAATAAGGTGATCAGGATAAATGGACACGATAGCACGCTACAAGGTGTGCGATACCCTCAACTGCATGGTTGTACCGCGGCAAACCTTTTCGATACCGGTATCAATAACCTTCAAGGTATACAGAAACGAGGCAGTGTAAACGTGGCAGAGAGAGCACATACTATTAATGTCGTCGAAGGCTCGAGGTCATCGCCATGCCAACACTAGCGCTCGACGGCGACAATGGTTCATGATAGCCGCTGGATTATTTGCCTTGTACTGTATCTTTTGGCTTCGAGTTCGTCTGTGGTTCAATACAAGTCAATCTGACGTACGAGCCAACGTCGTAAACGTTGACAAGGACCTTGTCAATAATAATAATCGATTGGCAATAAAACGTGGTGAAGAGCGACAACAACGTACAACTCGAGAAGAAGAGGAAGCCATACAACCTCTTCTGATTCCTCAAAAAATGGAGCCATTTTCAGACGCAGTAGAAGTCAGGAAGGAAGTGCAAAACTTGCGCGTTGTTACCACCCCCTTGTCGACTCCTGAGACTGCGGTCGTGACGCGGGACTTATCAGCCACAAAAGCTGCTGATCTGATAACATCTCCTGTGACAACTAGTAAAGTGACCTCTTCATTCGAGGATCGCCATGACGTTGTTTTTGGATACGATGCTGCAATGAAATATTTGGCCAACTACACGACACCTAAAGGTTCAGATGAGAAGCTCTTTTTATTCTTTACGTGCGGAAACGAGCACGGCCAGCATCGAAATTGGCGAAGTGTGTGTGTATACGCATCGCAGCTGGTATACAAAGTTTTTACAACATCTCCATCGCGGAATAGATTGCTAATTATCTACACCGGCTCACGACAGGACTGGGTGACTCCTAACGCTTTCGTTACAGATGGGGATCTAAAGGTTAAAATGATTCCTGCAATCATGCAGTGGCATGGAGGTGCTCCTGGGGCAAAGCGTGCCACGTCTGGTATGATCCTCGAGGAGAGTTTGTTGTACGAGCCGCTGCTGCGGTATCTCTTTAAGAACGAAGACTTTTTAGATCCTCTATTAGCTCCAGAAAAGATTGCATCAAAAGAGATTGTTTTGCTTAAGGGATACAAGAGCTACCGGTCGTACATGGATACCATTGCGGCTGGAGGGAATTCGTCGCTGACTATTCCGACAGGACCGATGTTTCTCTTTTTCGTTGCTGGCCGACTGGAATCCAACGACCGTCCCTGGTGTCCATACTGCCGCTTCTCTGAAACTTCGGTCGAGTACGCGTATTACGCGTTTGCACCAGAAGGATCACGGCTCGTAAAGGTGGAGACGGTGAATTCTTATAGCATTTGGAAAAATCGTGCTAAAAACGAGTGGAGGCAGGACACGAGCTTAATGATTCGTGGCGTGCCATGGATGTACCGGGCGACTTTAGACACGAATGCCCACACTTTTTCGTATGCGCGATATCAAGCGCGCTTTGACCGTCCTGACGATCTACAAGGTGTATTCCAAGGCTGGAAGAACCCACTCTAATACTTTTGAATACACGAACTCCTGTGCAACAGTTTTGATTGATATAGACGGTAGACAAATTTCCACGGTCTCGTCTTTCCAGTCCACTTACATATAATTCCAAGTATAAATGTGCTTGAAAGGTTATGTCAATTGTCAATTGTATAGCCTTTTGCCACATCATTTAGAGATTACGCACTGAAGCAATGGCGTTACCTCGATACGGACGTGACCGCCAGCGTCTACGTCGTCATGGTGCACTCCGATTGAGACGCTTTAAACCGTTACATTTACTTGCCGGTGGCTTCTTTGTGGTGTATGTGGGTTTTCTTGCAAGCTGGCACTTTTTTGGGGACTTTTCCAGCTTGGAAAGTTTCAAGCTAGAAAAGTCCTTAAAGCGACACCTCGCACCGACGGTGCAGCTCAGTAAGCTGCGTAAAGCCAGCAACTCAATGCATATTACAAGCGATGATGCAATTGACGTGAAAATTGCTGAGCGAATAGAAGAACCGCGTGAAATTATGGAGCGCGGACGTCCCAAAGTCGTGCTTCCAACAACTTCACCTCTTTCTGCTGTTCCAGTAGCTACAAATGTTGATGTTACAGTGTTGGAAAAGCCGAACGAGGTGCAGAAAGTGGTGGTAAACAAAGAGCTTGAAGGACATGGCTCGGGGATGCCGATGCAGACCGTGGATGAGATGACAAGGATGCAGGAAGAGGTGCAGACTACCGAGATGAAAGCTTCCGTGGAGTCTGCAGTGGTGGTTGATGTGGAAAAGGTTGCTATTGAAACTGTACCTGAGCAAATTGCAGCGCCATTGACGGTGGATCCGTTCGCTGGGAGACATCAGGAAATATCTGGATATGAAGCGACGATGAAGTTTTTGGAGAATTACCAGTACAATCCGAATGAGTCGTTGTTCCTTTTTTTCGTGTGTAGTGATGAGCAATTCAAGGCGAGCGACTGGTCTGAAGTTTGTGCAGAGGGAAAGAAGCACGTGTATGACGTGTTTTCCAAGTCCCCAGAACGCAACCGACTTGTGACGGTGTTTGCAGGTTCGGAAAAATACTGGAAATACCAGAATGAGTTTTACAATGATCCGGACTTGCACGTGAAGGGTGTGCCTTGTATTATGAAGTGGGAAGGACACAGTGGCAGGACGGAAGGAATGCTTGTGAAGCGATCGTTGTATGACGAGCCGTTCTTGCGGTATTTGTTTAAGAACATGGACCAACCTGAGGTACTCTTTGTTCCAGAAGACATTAAAAACAAGCAGATTATAACGGTAAAAGGCTACGATAGTTATGTGGATTTCATGGCTAAGTATGAGTATGAGGAAAACCCGGTCCCTACATTCCTAATGATGGTAGCAGGCCGATTCCAAAACAATAACAGACCGTGGTGTCCGTATTGCCGGTACTCGGAGTTACCCCTTGAGTACGCTTTCTACTCGTATGCTCCAAAGAATGCCCGGATGATTCGCGTGGAAGTCGCAGACACGTACTCAGAGTGGAAAAAGCGAAACGAGTTCACCCGCGACGAAAATTTGCGACTCAACCTTGTGCCGCTAATGTTTTACATTCAGACGATTCCCGCTGCCACCGCGAACGACACCAAGTCGATCATATTCACCTCACACATGACTCGTTACGACGAACTGGACCCGTTACGCGAGTTTTTCACAAGTTTTGCATAGATCATAGCAAGCGGCTTTGTGCCGCTTGGGTGAGGCACGCCGCAGTTAACGCTGCTGTGCTATTGGTACGGCACATTGAGTTTATAGAGCGTATCCAGTTGTTTCGTATTCCAAGCTTACTCGTGTCTAGACGCTTTTTTTCTAGCAGGTTGAGCTGGTGTTGGGCACCACTATTTCTCCTTGTCGTCGTCGCAATGAAAGGCTTTGTCTCATAGTTTCCGACATTTGGTCGACAATGCCACGTTCCCCAAGGAACCCCAGGTATCTCGTAAAACTCAACCCAAGAAACTCCTCCATCATTCTCAAGGCCACACTAATCTCGCAAGTAGTGCTATCTGGAAGTACACGAATGTGCTGGCGAAGACTTCTAATAGTGACCAGACACATGGCCATAAACTCTTGAAAGCGCATCTTTCTCTCCTCGATGATCTCAGTTTCGGGTATACCTCCAGAAGCATTGGAAAAGAGGTGTGAGCCCCAAACATGCCGCGAGGGGAAGCTAGTTTCCATAATGGAAGCCAACACATTCTCGCAGATTGCACAGCGCGGCTCACGACGACGTTTGCCTCGACTAAAGTGCTTGATGAGCTGCTGTCGAAGTAGTCGGAACTCGGAGAAACGACGCGCCACGCACCACTGTTGCTTGCTCAAATGTGCTTCGATCTCGTAGAAAATGACGCCATCCTCAGGTCGTTCAAAATGCTGCCCAGTCACGCGAGCAGATATATAATCCGAGTACTCCGCTTCGTCACGAAATAGTTGCAGCTTCTCACTGTTCTCACGCCAAAGAACCGTGGTTAGCCGTCTGTGTTGGGATGTAGCGCATTGACACGAGGGTCCAATCTCTGTGGTTGTCGATGTGGAGGACCTTGGAGTCGTTGAAAAGAGAGAACCGACGGTGTTTCGCCGTACATGACTTTTGCTCTTGATCGGGTGGTCACTGCTTTGATCTCGCGACAGTAGACTACGTGCTGACGAGCTGCAGCGCCAAAGGAGCCTCGGAATCTTCCCTGTTCGTCCGGATACTACCGATGCTCGGGTTTCTCGGCTTCTTGAGGCTGACCTTTCGAACGGGTCAGCCGAGAAAAGCGATTGCCTCATCGCTTCTTCCAGTGAGCTGCATGTCGATGCCGTTGAGCGCATGGGTGAATTTGCGGTGCACATTGCGTCGCTTAGTCTCATGCCTGAAAAGAAAAGTGAAGTGAGGGGCTTGACGTAGAATGAGAAGTGGCCAGTATGCTAGACAAGTATTTCAGAAGGACTAGTCCCCGTTTCCGACTCCTGAACTGTTGTGTTCTTTCGCACCTTCGTTCGAGATGGCAGACATCGAAAGGTGTTTTTTTATTTGATAGATGGATACGCACGAGTGCTACTAGATTCCATGATGTGCCTGCCATGCAGCCGTAAAGACCGACCAACAAAAGGTACTGAATGTCTTCTGACATTTAGACGAAGATGGTGTTGACATGGTCAGTAGCACAATCTGTATGATACACGTGTACTTCCAAGAACTGATTCGATCAGCTGCCAACTTTCATGACGGGGCTGTTGCTACTCGGGACACGGAACGTTTATTCAATCGGCTGTCGCCAATTACCAGTTGACCACTGACTGATTGCTTGCTACCCCGCAGGAACTTTCTTCCGATGGCAAGTGCTATTTTCTAACTTTTGACGAACGCAGACGTTTCAACATGAGCTCCATGACGTTGGACTGAACAATTCCCTGCCTGGCCGATCTCCTGAAAGTTCAAAAAGTATCAATTGAGATGCATACGATCACTAGAGCGCCCTTTCAAGCACGACAAGGACACCTGCGTGCGATTCTGCCCCTTCAGCTCTGCTGTAACCATTTTCTTCTGACCATTTTTGGTGCAGTTGAGCTGGGCTTGATCCGACCTGAACATCTGCCAACAGTCCATAGACTTTTGCTCGTGCTCGACACGAAGCGTTTCAACTCTGTGCTCAAGACAGGCAAGGCAGACTTCTTGTCACCCTATGTAGCCACGTCAACATTAATGGTTGGTTGGCGTGTAGCGCCTGTTTTTCGCTGCACATAATCATAAAGCGGACGGAATGTATCAAATACGTCGATTCCTGCCTCCATTAGTGCACTGCAAGACGCACTCGAAGCTTCTCGTGGGATGTTGGCAATCTACCTCTTTATTTTCTTCCTTGTCACAGGAGTGGCGTCAAGTCTTGGCAGATTTCCAGAGCAAATCAAATGACACAAGTACGTTATTGCTGGCCACTGACGTCGAAAACGTCATTCAGGCGTGCACCCAGAGTGATCGCACTCGAGAAGCACTGGATGCAGTGTATAAAGCAAAAAAGCGCGGTGTCGTGGCTTCATTGAACTCGCACGTGCAGATTTGCTGTTCGTGGGCTCGAAAGGGCAAAGCGGAGCGGGCATTGAACATGATGCTGCAGCTGCACGAAGAATTTGGCGAGCAATTCCAATCGACACACAAGACACGGGGTAGTGTGTATGACCCATTGCTCACAGTGTTCAAGTTACAGGGAGATTGGCGCAGCACGCACGATGTCATTGCACAAATGCATCAGTTAGACATCACACCAACTTTACGTGCCTTTCGGGTGCTCATGTTAACATTAGCGAAAGCTCGTCGAAAGGAGACGTTGTTGACAACGATGGCCTTTGTGGAAAAGAAGTTTCCTGAGGTTTGGACGGATGTAGTTACGCTGACAGCCATGTGTCAGGCGCTTGTGAGTGTCAATGAGAACCAGCGCGTAATGGAGATCTACCGTAAACTTGACAATGATTGGGCTCATGAAAATGCCAGCACGATGCTGTTCAACCAGTTTCTGCTTGCTGCAGTCCGTAGCGAAACTACTAAGCTGGATGGCAAGAAGGGGGATAGACGAATGAATCGAGGGTCGTCGTCGAACATGCAGGTTGCGATGAGCATTTTTACACGAATGCAAGAAGCTCAGACTGCTGTACCTGACGACTTCACGTTTGCGACTTACATGATGGAACTGGAGAAGCGTGGTGAATGGCAACATGTGCTGGATCTGTTCAATACGATGTTAGAGACTCAAACGCGCAATCAGAGCGGGCTAAGCAACAAATTGCAGACACCAGTGGTTAATGCACTCTCTTTCTCTGCTGTGATCCGAGCGCTTCACAAGCTTCACGAAATTAGTGAGTCAAATAATGATAAGAACGCTGGGCCACATCGAGCTACCCGGCCCAATACGTCTTCGAGAGAGCCGCAAAGAAAATTGAAGCAGGACTTGTCGGTCGTGCTGAAACAGCTTCACACAATAGACCTTCATAATATTGGCCATGCTTCAACACTGATCGATACCCTGGATGAATTCAGGCTATTCACAGCAGCGCGTCAAATTTTTAAACGCGTGCTGGATGAAAATATCATCCAAAAGACTCCGTGGAGATTGAAAGACGGATTTGAGATTGACTTGCACACATTCTCTCGCGGTGTAGCAAAGTGTGCGGTCGTGTCAGCTTTCGATGCGATCTCGCGCTCCCAACAATGTATTAGCGACACCTCTCTTGCGAGTAACACCCCACTGCAAAACATTCGTATCATCACGGGTGTTGGCAAACGTAGCCAAACGTTCATGAAGCCGGTGCTGAGGCAAGAAATCACGGAACTGCTCACCAAGTCCAGTCGACCACCACTTTGGCCCTCAATACATCCGACTAACTCCGGTGTTCTACTCGTACGCCATAACGCTCTGCGCAAATGGCTTCAGAAAGGTGGCGCGATCCGATACTTTTGAAGTCAATACGGTGAAATATGTTGATGCAAAACATTCATCTCTTCATTGTATCCCTTGACACATGTCTTCTGGACTTTTGGTACTTGTGCTTTTGCTCATGCGCGAGTATCTTGTGGGCGGAACCTTTTTCGATGGTGTCCGTGATGGCGAAAAGAAAGCCAATCTTGAGATGGTTCATACAAGTGGCAAGCGACAACTTCTGTATGGCTCGTAGCACCTAGCTCTGCAGTGGTGTCACCGTCTACAACAGCTATGATTAGCTAAGTCTGACGTCATTCTTCGAAATAAGTTGCCTGAACAGGTCGTCACGACCTGCGTTGTCAATGCCATGACGGCTGTGAATAAAGATCTATCTTCCTGTAGAGCTTGAGCTTATTTGCTACTTTTCTCGCTTGGGCAAGATTAATTGACATCGAAACCTAATGCGATTGAGGTTGTGACGGACTTGTTTCTTCGTTAGACGAAGATGTCGGTGTTACTTCCATCGCATCATGAAGTTCGTCTTTGATGAACCTAATCTCCATGGGCTTTGACTAAGGCTCCATCGCAAATAAAACCTTCCATCGAGCGTTCGCTCGAAGCCGAAAGTTTACAAAAACATGAACACTTTGTTTCCGACTCTCGCCGTAGTTTTGCAGTCTACATCGTCAATCAAATTCCAGCGGTCCATGCAGTTGCTAGCTACGTCTTTGCTGCAACAGATCATCCATGCATGCCAGTACCACACGCATACCCGTAGAGTGCTTCCAGATTTAGGCTTCATGGCCGTTCATCGCTTTGTGACTTTACTACCGTTGTACGTGCACATTACCAGGTTGTCAGATAATCTTTCGAATTGCCTCGTGTGATAACAAAGAAATGATTCTTGCACTGAAAAGTATTTCTGGCCAACATCGACAATTCAATAGTCACCGCAAGACGTAGCTGGTCTGCAGTCTCAATGAACGTCATGGTATTCAGCTTCTTGTAACTCAAACCCGTCGTCTCCTGAAACTTTCGAATACGGAAGGGACATTGATACTTGCCCACAATTACCCCTTTTCGAGACATTACCGTGTCGCCGTCCACCACTTCAGCTTTGAGTTCTAAGTCTAAAGTCAGACTACGGCGATTCCAATTCGCCGAACCGATGGACAAGTACATGATATCGACGATCACGAGCTTCGAATAAATCAAGATGACTCGCTCTGTAGGCCTTCTTCTCCTAGCGTATTTTGATCGGATGGACTCTACGCTTTACTTGATGTTCTTTAGGTTGGTGAACATATTGGCTTGAGGATCTACCGGCTGATTTTTTTCGCATTTGTTGAGTTGTTGGCTTCGATTACGTGGTCTTCTAATGATGGGTGGACACAAGCGGTCGTCAAAGAAAAACACCGCCTTAGCTTCGTTTATCGGGTATCGTACGACCAATCATGTCCATTAGAAAAACGGTCTTCAACACGGGAAAAATGCTGGAAGAGCTTGGTTTCTGGTGTTCAAAGGAAGAACTGCTGCACGACAATCCCTTGGATTTTAACCGCCCCAATCCGCTTCTGTTGGTCGACGACAATTGGTTCGCAGATTGTGATCCCGATTTACTAAAGACGATCGAGTGGTACCTTACCCGTGCTTTTATTGAGAGCCACGAGCTCGCTTACAGTTTCTGTCGATTCTCGACCTGCACGTTGGCGCTAGAGCAACCTCGAATCATGGGTGCATGTACACTGACCGATGGTGTTTACTGCTGGCCAGAAGGCTATTGGCATTATGTAAGTCACCATCACGTGAAGCCACCACAAGAATTTCTCAATCACCTCGTGGACAGATACGGCACGATAGCCGAGATGACGAGAAAAGCGAGGGATGAGAAGAAGCTGCTGCTGTGGGATGATACAGAGCACAAAGCTGTTGAGATGCCACATGCAATGCAAGAATGGATCACAAGCTTCACAACTGTTCAAGTCACTCGTGACAGTGTAGCAAAAGGATGGAATCTACCTCGGCATAGGGGCTTGATTCGTTATTTCACATGAGAATTGTAGGTCCTCTACCAGTCAATAATATCTCCTTTACCAAAGTGAAGAAGCTGCATCGGATCTCCAATTTTCGCACGAGCGATAAGACGAGCCATACTCTCTACGCTTTCCTCAGGCTCCACAGCGCCATTGTAATTGTTGTACGCAGTATTTACGTTGCCTGGATGCAGCAGCAAACATCCAATATTTTGCGGTTCCAAGTCGATCGCCAAGCTCTTCGTAAACACATTTAATGCACCTTTCGATGCACGATGCGCGTAAGCCCCACCAGAACTATTGTCTGAGATGCTGCCAATACGCGAAGTAATTTGGACGACAAAGGCGCACCCTCTCAAACTCACCGCTAGTCGCAAGTTCGGTAACAGCGCGCGTGTCACGAGCAAGGGACCTATGGCATTCACCTGAAACTGAAGTAAACAGTCCTCCACTGTCGTCTCATCCAAGTTAAAGAGTCCAGACGCGCCGGCATTGTTAATCAAAAGATCAACATGAACTCCGGTAAGCATATTTGCCATCCTTTCAATCGACTGCTGCTTCGCTACATCCAAAGTGACCAGCTTCCATGGACATACAGCTATGAGCTGTAAGTATAAAAAAGGAATCAAACACACGACAAAGTCGCACAAATCAGTTTCCTCTATCACAACAAACAAAGCACAATTATCAAAAAGTCTTCTTGCGTACCTCTTGTGCTTTGTCCATATTTCTCACTGCAGCAATCACATTCCATCCTTCCTTCGTATAATGCTTCACAAAAGTCAATCCAATACCTCTACTAGCACCTGTAATCAGCACTATTTTCTTCACATTCTCTTGTCTACCTTCCGTCTCGCTCGTATTCACACAAACTATAGTATCTACAAGAACATTTTGTCTCCCGTGGTTGTCTCGTGCTAGAGCTAAATGGTCCGTCACATCTGTCACATTTCTCTGCACCATTCCCTCTGCGCCTGTACCGTCTGTCAGCATCTTGTCATCGTCTCGTCGACGTCGAAATTGCCGGAATCGGAGGCCATGTCTTGTCATAAAGTTGGTCATCCAGCCCACAGACAATCCCAATTTTGGACGCCTTGCAGGTGGCAGCTCAGCCAATAACTCCTGTGCTTTTTGTACCAATAATTTACGAGAAAGACGAACGCCTTGAACCCCACAAACTTCCACAAATCTTTCAAGTGCCGTCTCCAGCTCAGGACTTACAACGTTACGTCCTCTTTTTGTGATTCCCTGACGATGTTTATGTTCAATTTCTTGAGCTGTTTGAAGAATTTTTTTAATCGTGTTGGCAGATGGAGCACGTTCCAAGTTAAACGCAGTCAAGGCCCATTGAGCCAACTTTACTTGGGATAATCCAGGATGATTACGATGCTTGACTATAAGCTGGTACTTTTCCTCAATTGCTAACCACTTGCCCATAAGTTTTTTTTTTAGTGAGATAATATTTTAATTTACGCGATTGGTTTAAATAAACTTTCAGTCTCGACTCGATTTTATTTTTATCATAGAAGCTCATTTGTCATGCCATACGTATAGTATACGTCGTAATATTTTTGTATATATTTTCTGTCATTTTTGTGGCATTATCTAGTATCTTTTTTTCTCTATTTTTGATAGTGATTAATACTGTAAATGTCGGACTCTATATCGTGGCTTTTAACGTCTTGAAAATAGGAATAAAATAAGCGATAGCAGCAAATTTACACAAAACACGATCGATTCATCGAGGCTAGAAGATAAAAATACATGAAAGCTTTCTAGTAGTAAAAGGTTAAACAACAATGAGCCTGCATCACTTGGCGACTAGCTGACTGTGTATTCCATCCGCAATATCAATCTCCCTTCCTTACGTAAAAGCTATATGTTGCGTCTTGGCAGGCATTTGCGCCTCGTATCCAGGAAACTCATAATCGATACCAAGCGCTTTGAGCACCTTGCGTTTCTGTCGCTCCTTAGTCACAAGACGCTTGTTGTTGACCACCATCTGCTCGTAACTCTTTTCAGCATTGTGACGGTTGCGATTAATGGCCTGTCGAGGCAGAGGCTTGAACTCTTTGTTAGCACCCACGAACATGCGTTCATGGACAGCATGTGACGGAACAACGTGACACGAAAGCGTGTGGTCAAACAGTCGGTACTTGTTCATTGTATTGGCCACAATCTGCGCCACCTCGGGCTCATCAAACTGAATGAAAGCGTAATGTTTCGAGTTTCCCGTGCGCTTATTGCGAGAAAGCCGCACACGACGGACGACACCAAATTGTTTAAAGAATCCCATCATCTCCTTCTCGTAGAAACCGTGAGGGACACGCCCGAGATAAATAACATTGGACGGCTGACTCTTGGCCTTCTCATCCTTCTGCCGCTTGGACAGCTCGGCAACTTCCTTCTTACGCTGCATCTTACTCTTGCGCTTCTTTCCATCAATCTCTGTGACGCTAGCCATGGCCTCTGCGGCTGTAGGGAGCTTTACAAAATCATTAGTGGCATCAAAGGTGGAAGTCGCAGCGGCCGTCGTTTCGCTCTCGCTGTCCGAGTCCCATTCGTCACCTTGTAGTTTCTGTAATTGCGCTTCAATCTTCTTATTCACCATGATAGTCCTGACGTTAATTGTTGCTGCGTGGCTGCGTTAAGAGAGAGAGAGAGAGAGAGAGAGAGAGAGAGAGAGAGAGAGAGAGAGAGAGAGAGAGAGAGAGAGAGAGGGAGAAACTTGAGCAGCAATCGATGTTCGTAATAGCCAGTCGGTAATTGAGTGGAGTAGCAGCATTAGGAAAATAGTCTGGACTAAATTGCAATTGTATTTTTAATTGCAATTTTCCATCTTTTCAGCAATTAATCAACACTAAATTTCACTTTTTCCGAAAATCTTTGCAACATTTTTGAATTATTATTTACAATAATGCGAATCGTATGCGCTCTACTTGTGCTGAGTCTTCCCGTCGTAACCCCGTCCACGCATGTCCACGGTGTTGCTCCATCTGATCAGTTGAAATATGAAACCACCGAGTTCTCGTGTGTTGTGGGTGGAAAGCTTACGAATCTACCAATCAATCGAGTGAATGATGAATATTGCGACTGCGACGACGGTGATGATGAACCAGGCACCGCCGCCTGCTCGCACGTACTAATGAGTGTGTTTCACTGTAAAAATGACGGGTTTTTGACTGCAAAAGTGAGTAACATTTCGAAAAAAATCATTTGCTGAGTGGTCTAAATTGTTTCATGATCTCGTATTGTTTTGTCAGATCCACACGTCACGGATTCATGATGGAATATGTGACTGTTGTGACGGATCCGATGAAGAAATTGACGGTAAACGGCCATGTCGAAATACATGCTCGGTAGCTGCCGAGAAGTTCGGGAAAGAAGCGGAGCAGCGTCTTAAAGTGGTGAAAATTGGGTTTGAGAAACGTCAAACGACGGTCAATGGGGAGATTGCGACGTACTTTGGTAGAGAAAAAGGGTTGATGATGAAGATGGAAAGAGAATTAGCAGATTTGAAGCTGCTAAAGGAGAGAGTGACAGTGCACAAGGATCGTGAAGAATTGAGGGAGCAAAAATATCGTCTGGAGGTTGCGAGACAAAAGCAAGTGAATATTCATGACGGTGAGAAGACGAGCAGACAAGGCTTTTTGGAGGCGGTTGAAGCAGTGGAGTTTGAAACACTCGATGCTATTCAACTTGCCGATGACGATGCACCCGTCACCTCAGCGGAAGATGAACGAGCGTTGGAGATTTTGGATTCGAATAGGCAGACTGTGAAGAGCCTGATTGAGCTGCCAGACAGCACAAGGATATCTCTGGCAGATTATTTACGAATGAACCACAACGAGCAAGCCCGTACCAAGAAGTTGTGCCCGCTTTATTATTGACAAATGATGGAGTGACATTTCATTGCTAATTTGTTTTGTATGATGTATGTGCTCAGGAGGCCGCCACACACTGCAGAAGAATTGCCGCGAGACGATTTCCGTGGCTCGCTACTCAATTGGGGGGCGGGAGATCGAAAAAGAATTGGACTGCATGCATTGCGTGTTATCGGTACAAGCACTTTGCAACTGTAATTCGTAGCTGTGACTTGCTTCTAACAGTGTGCCATGTTTCACAAAGGTGTCGTCGTTTCTCCAGTCCGTGCGCTAGTAGAGATGTTGCTGTATAGTAAGAGAACCCTATGGAGTATGTTATCGATACCTGAATTTGCTGGTCCAGTCGTCGACAAACTGCCGGATTTCCCACCTCTGTCACGTTCAGTTTGGTTTCGTCGGCTCGGTGGAGGAATTGTCTTCAATAGTTACAGACTAGCCACGTGGGGCGCGCAGGTTGTCTGGGACGCGCCGGTTTATGTTTACCACTATCTATTGTACGTTGTATCTTTTTGCCCGTAGCCCTTCCATTTCTGACGACGATGGTATATATACATTTATGAAGTCCCACGCTGGATAATGAGGTGAAACTGCCAACAGCGGAGTCGCTGCGGACAGTACTTCACGAAATTGAGTCCGACATTGCAAAACTGGAGAAAGATGGAAACGAAAAGCGCGAGATGGCGGAAATGGACTATGGTCCAGACCGTGCATATTTTGCGCTGAAGAAAAATTGCATTGAGAAACGAGTTGAGGTGCGTTGAATTGTCAATTAAGACGCCGCGCGCTCTAAACGCGGTTTGTGTAAGCAGAAATACCAGTACAAGTTCTGTGCTTTTGGAGAAGTCAAGCAGGACCAAACAAAACTTGGCAAGTGGGACGGCTGGTACGGTAAAGAGGACAAGGGTTTACCATCGAGTGGCAAGGTGGATTACACGCGCATGCGGTACTCTCAGGGTGACAAATGCTACAATGGCCCAAAGCGGTGAGTTGATAAAGTGTATGTCCATGTATAATCAACTAACAATCTTATGGCCGCACAGGTCCGTGCTGTTGCATCTCGAGTGCGGTGAACGCGACGAGATATTGAGTGTGGATGAGCCTTCTACCTGCGTGTACGAGATGGCTGTTCGTTCTCCGTTGGCATGCACTGCTGAAGTATATGCTAAGGCCCAAGAAGACGTGGCGTTTTGGACACGAAAGCAGTTACAGTAAGAAATAGTTCTGAATCAGTACGGCCGTCAACAAATTGTCCATACCGATGATATATTCGTGTTGCAAGGATTATACCTTCTTCACTGCCCTCGGTGTCACGGATTGTTTAACAGAAAAAGTATGGATTCGCGAAGAACACGTTGGCTACTACATGAAGGCAACGCATTGACATCTTTCGTTGCATTGGGATAATTGCAGCCGATGTTGTGCCCAGTAGATTTGTTATCTTGCATGGTTCCGAACGAATCGTTAATTTCCATAGTGTGGTGAATTCACAATAGGCTCCAGTAGTGTAACGGGGTTACACGACGGTTGTAGCGTCTTTCCGAGAGCTTACGGTTAAACTCCCCTTTGTATTGCATATAATGCATTATTATACTTCTTTTTAGAGAGGTATTAAGTATGAGCGTTAAAGATACGGTATTACCGAAAACTGTATCTTAACGATTGGGATTCGATAAATCACTAACGCTTATTAAGTACATCATACACAGATGTTTAGACGATACGTCGTTCAATAGCAAAGTCTGCATATAATAATTACTATTATAGTAGTTAATCTAGTGTAGTGTACTTAGAGTAGGACTATTCATAAAATCTTAAAGCATAAATAAAATTAGTTCTCCTTTTGAGTTTAAGATCGCAAGTCGTTCTGACTTGTTCTCTTGTGCACTTCGTGCGTTGGTTCTCTGAACCTCTAAGCTCTAGCTTGTTCTTGCACTCTGTGCGTTGGTTCTCTGAACCTTAAGCTTATTGCTTGCTGACTAAAAGACTCTCCTAGTTCCTTAGAACAGGGTAACTTTAAGTCGTTTAATTAGTTCCTTAGAACTAAGTGGCTTTTAGCCTAAACTCTATTTAGTTCTCTAGAACTAAGAGGCTTCCAGCCTAAAGTCTTCCTCTGACTAAAAAGCTGTGCAGCTCCGCTACACTTGGTAGCACTTGTAGTCAATCCTACACCTGATTCTTTAAAGACTGACCCTCTGTGAGGATGGAGAATCAAAATCACCTCTCTGAGGCGCAACGACTCGCCTTAGATAAACTATCGGCGTTCGTTGGGCCCGATCAAATCGATGCCCTTTTGTCCCAAAGGCCGGAGGTCCTTAATGCTCGCCTTGAGGCCTTTATGCGTTATGAAGAAGCGCTATTCGGGCAGGTCCATGACCAGGCAGCGTCAGCTGCGCCTACACAGTACATTCCGGTACCTGTGCCCGATGCAGAGCCAAAGGCTCGCCCACTTGTTTTAAACGTTAAGACCTTCGAGGGGAAGGAGGGAGAAAATCTTCTCCTCTGGATCCTAGAAGTTGAAATGGCAATGGATGCCGCCATGCTTGTATCAGATAAGCAACAAGTTAGCTTGGCCATTTCGAAGCTCGGTGGAAGAGCTAGAGAGTGGGCTATAACGAGCGATGTCTCTGTAAATGCTGCATTTTCTACATGGGAAATGCTTAAAAAGCAATTAACTTGTGTGTTTGCACCGCCTAATCAGGCTTATCGTGTGCGCTCACGTTTCTTAGCTACCCGACAGGGTAAGAAAGAATTGTCGGACTATGTCCAAGAGTTGAGAACTCTCATTGCTGCTATGCAGCAGGACCCACTGGCGGAGGAAGTCCGAGTAACCATTTTTTATGAAAGGACTTCGCACTGGGGTCGCCAGGACGGAAGTTTTCCGTGTCCAGCCTTCGACGTTCGAGGAGGCAGTAAGCATAGCGTTTAACGCTGAATTTAATTTTTAATCTGGTCGCTATGGTCTGCCATGGTATCAATCAAATACCTCTAACAGGGCGGAACCCATGGAACTCAGGCAAGCGGAAGAAGCTGAGTTTCAAGCTGCTGAACAGCAAGGTAACATCCGTAGATGTTATATGTGCGAAAGCACTAGGCATCTCCGCCCTACCTGTCCGTTGCGAAAGCAACGTTCAAATCGGCAAAGCCGAAACCCTGCTCCTAGCCAAAAGGCGAGCACCGCAGGGGAAAACGTCAACTCCCAGTAGGCGCGGGACGCCCTACTGGGAAAGAACTAAGTTCTGTTGAATCTCTAGGAGGTAAAGGTAAACAGGGCTTAGCCCCAGGTGGTTCTGTGGATGCTCCCATAGAACAAGATTACAAGCCAGGCTTGTTGGTTGTGTCGGCAACCGTTAAGGGTTTTGAGAAACCATGGTCAATTTTAATTGACTCAGGGGCGTCAGGTAATTATGTCCGACGTCGTTTCCTTGAAGGGAGTAGGGTATATGCTGAGGCGCTAGAAGCGCAAGAGGGTGACAGTATAACCGTGCGTCTCGCGACCGGTGTACGTGTCACCGTTCCTAAAGTTCCGTTGAACTTAGGTGTGAAGTTCTTAGACTTAAATAGCGTTGAACGCTGTCTTGTCCTAGATTTGGACTCGAGATATGATCTCATTCTCGGTATGGACTGGCTAGAACGCCATGAGTCGTGGATCGATTGGAGATCCAAAACTTTAGGCGCAACGCGCAATGTTCCTAGCGAAGCTTTGGAGAGTCATGAACCCACCTTCGCTAGGAAACAAAAGTGCTATTGGCGCGAGCCATTAACTGATTCAGTTAGTGTGCTGGACATTGGAGTGTCTGAGTTGATAAACTCCGATGTCAACAATAATAGTGTCGAGCAGAGCTCAGTGACACTTAGTGGAACGGCACGTACTCCGTTGAGTGATACTCAAAGTAATATTGAGACACTGGATGTCGGTAATGACATCGGCTCTCTATAGAGCAAGTGAAGGTCGATGACCTTGTTAGTGAGGTCACTGGTACTAGTGACCCACTGGATGTCGGTAATGACATCGGCTCTCGTATAAAGCAAGTGAAGGTCGATGACCTTGTTAGTGAGGTCACTGGTACTAGTGACTCACTGAATGTCGGTAATGACATCGGCTCTCGTATAGAGCAAGTGAAGGTCGATGACCTTGTTAGTAAGGTCACTGGTACTAGTGACTCACTAAATGTCGGTAATGACATCGGCTCTCGCATAGGGCAGGTAAATGACAAGGGGTCTGTTGACCTTGGGGATGATAATATCTCAAGTACTTTGAAGAGTACGGTCTCGTCAATGAGACGGCAGCGTCGCCAGATGGCGGCTGCGAGACGCAGAGCGTCTATTTTATCACGTGGTGATGTCAGTGAGCAGCTGTATACCCTGGTCAACGGAGTGAAAGGTGATGTAGATGGTGAGGTTGACCTTGAGGCCCTCCCATCATTAAATGCTCTTTTAGAGCTAGACGAAATGTCTGTGGATGATTTTCGTCAGGCCTTGAAGGCTGGTGCTCTATCCGATATGGTGGTCATTCGACCTAACCTCGAGCTGAACTCATCCTCGCTTGTCGATGAGACGGTCCTTGCGTCGACCCTCGAAAAAATCATCAATAGCGATGACTTGGTCGCGCGGTAACGGCCACTGTCGTGTCACGCAATATTTCGATCCTGGCACGAGATCTATCTCGTGCCGCACACCACGATCCGCCGGAAGCTCAGCTGGGATTTTCTCTGGGAAAATATCGGCGTACTCACGGCTAGCCATGTCCGCGAGAGTATCTCGCCACATTCGAGTCCGACTTTCTGTGTGAAAAAAGCCACCGGCGGTTGGCGCATTGTGCACGCCTTCAACAAGCTGAATGACGCCACGATCCCGGCTTAAACGCCTATCCCTCGAAAAGACATGGTATTAAATACCATGTCCGGGAGCGAGATCTACAGCGCCATAGATCTGACAGACGGTTTCTATCAGATTTTCATGAGGGACATTGACATTCCGTTCGCTGCGGTCAGCACCCCAAGCGGGATGCTTTGGGAGTGGCTAGTCATGCCACAAGGTCTTTAGAATGCTCCAGCTACGTTCAATTGGATGGTGACACAAGTACTCCGCCCACTTCGCGACTTTGCACCGAGCTACTTTAACGACATTTTCGTTCACAGCCGCGCTGAGCAAAAGCTCAGCGCTACGGAGGTACCCCTTCGACACGTGAAGCAGTTGTTTCAAGTTATGCGCGAGAATAAATTATATGCTAATTTGAAGAAATGTGTCTTCTGCGCTCCCGAGATTCCAGTACTCGGTTGCTACGTCAGCAAGGAAGGTGTCCGCGCTGATCCTGAGAAGATCTCATCGATCTGTTCCTGGCCAACGCCCAGAAACCAAACTGAATTAATTCAATGGCTAGGTCTGGCGAATTACTTGCATAAGTATACGAAGAACTATGCTAAGCTAGTTCAGCCATTATCGACTTTGCTCAAGAAAGATGCAGTATGGTTATGGACGGCAGAACGTCAATCTGCCTTCGACTCCGTAAAGAAGAGCTTGTCAGAGGCACCTGTGCTGATGTTACCTGATGACTCCAAGCCATTCCACGTCGTATATGACGCGAGCAATTTCGCTATAGGATGTGCCCTCATGCAATTGGATGACGAGGGTCTAGAGCGCGTAGTGAGTTTTCAATCACGACAGATGAAACCTGCCGAAAAAAATTATCCGGTACACGACAAGGAACTTTTGGCTATGCTTTACGCGCTAATCAAGTTAAGAGTATATTTGCTCGGCGAAAAGATGTTTTCTATCTACACAGATCACGCATCATTGCGTACCGCCGTCAAGAGTCCTCACTTGTCCCAGCGTATGGCACGGTGGTTGTCATTTTTTGCCGAGTATAATTTTGTGGTGCATTACAAGCCCGGCAAGAATAACATTCTCGCTGATGTGCTTTCTCGTCGTCCTGATTACGATCCTCGGCGTGATATGGGTCATCAAACGGAATATGTTGATGACGACGAAGATATCTGTGTGTGTTTTATTGAACTGGGACTTTATGCGATGATTTCGACCCCCGTGCTTTCGATCCGAACTCAGATCGCTGAATCCTACGCGAATGATTCCTTCTATGCAGGAATCATCAACTATCTCAGGGAACCGAGCGAAAAATTACTTGCGAAGTTGACGAAACCAACACGCGACAACATCAAGCGTTACGCGCTTGACGGTCCGTTTCTGACGTACAC